GCCTTTAACAGATGCATGGAGAAACCAGCGTCTGGGTTTCCACTGTAGTTGCGGGAGGAATGGTTCCACCTACGCAAACACACGATCCTTATCCTGCTTCCTCTTGAGTCTCCAGACTTCGAACCGCCGCAGGCGTGGCGGCACGCCTCGCGGTGGGAGAGCCAAGGTGCGCCGTGCATGGAAACAGAACAGGAAGAAGGGAGGGCGGGGAGGGGAGAGAATGGGGAATGAGAGGGGAAAGGATGGAGAAGGGAGACACGGGAGGAAGAGGCTGCAGGGAGGGCCTCGGTGCTGCGCCACGGAGCGGAGTCTGCAGTGTGTTTTCACAGAGGGCGGTGGGGAGGGAGGGAGGGGAGCGATTCAGAGTTGGGGTGGTCACACACGTGGTTTACGCGAGGCTTGAGCTGATGTAGTGATATTTGGAGGACTTTATTCATAAATGATTCAATCGTTTTGTCGGAGGGTGGCCCTCGTGTTTATTTCACCGAGATAATGCGTAACTTTAGTTTCAAATGTGTCAATAATTTTCATAATGTTTATCATTAGTAACAAAAAACTAACCACTTATTTGTTTTACTAACTGTTGAAACGAAAGCGATTCACCAGCATTGCATCTTTCAAAATGATTAACAATTGCTTTTCTCAAATTAATGAACAGTTGGCCCAAGTTAACTTTTTAAATCGCCTCCTTTGATTGCAGTAGTAATAGTAGCCCTGGCATTTAAAGGGCGTGTACACGCCTGAGCGCATTACGTCACAGCTCATATTAACCACTGGAAGGACACAGACCCCCAGGGGCACCCCGAGTGGCAGCTGTCCCCGTGCGGCACAGGTTGACTCAGCACGTGACCTGCGAGCGGGCGGTAATCTGCTGCCGGTAGTAGGTGGGGATGTATTGCCGTGTGTGTGTGTGATCCCCAACCGGGTAATATTTTCGGGTGGTCCGTGTTTGGAGCATGACAGCCAAATCACAACGATAACAGCGACACCAGCCGCGCGGTTTGTAGCGCGCACAGCGGTGCACGGACATCGTCCAGTGAGCGTGACTGTGAGGATCGGAGCCAAGCTCGGCGCCGCTCGAGCGCTCGCGGAGAGAGGAAGGGAGAGAGAGGTGGGGCCATTAAGAGAGAGGTGGGGCCATTAAGAGAGAGGTGGGGGGCCTTTAGGTGCCTCTTAGAAGTTGGTGTCGAGTGAGCGCTGCTGCTGCTGTGAGCGTGCTGCAGCAGCAGCAGCAGTGGGGACGGTGATGATGGTCGCGCTCCCAGACGACGGAGGCTGCTGCAAAGAAACGGCGCCTGGCAGTGACCACGGTGCAGTTCCTGGGTGTAGAGACGAGGACGAGGAGGTTGTGAGTCGCGCTGCTGCTGCTGTGCAGAGTTCCACCGTGAGCTGTAGTGCAGGGTGACAGGGGCTGTGGTGCAGGGTGACAGGAGCTGTAGTGCAGGGTGACAGGAGCTGTGGTGCAGGGTGACAGGAGCTGTGGTGCAGGGTGACAGGAGCTGTAGTGCAGGGTGACAGGGGCTGTGGTGCAGGGTGACAGGAGCTGTAGTGCAGGGTGACAGGAGCTGTAGTGCAGGGTGACAGGGGCTGTGGTGCAGGGTGACAGGAGCTGTGGTGCAGGGTGACAGGAGCTGTGGTGCAGGGTGACAGGAGCTGTGGTGCAGGGTGACAGGAGCTGTAGTGCAGGGTGACAGGAGCTGTGGTGCAGGGTGACAGGAGCTGTGGTGCAGGGTGACAGGAGCTGTGGTGCAGGGGGACAGGAGCTGTAGTGCATGGTGACAGGAGCTGTAGTGCAGGGTGACAGGAGCTGTAGTGCAGGGTGACAGGAGCTGTGGTGCAGGGTGACAGGAGCTGTGGTGCAGGGTGACAGGAGCTGTGGTGCAGGGGGACAGGAGCTGTAGTGCAGGGTGACAGGAGCTGTAGTGCAGGGTGACAGGAGCTGTGGTGCAGGGTGACAGGAGCTGTGGTGCAGGGTGACAGGGGCTGTGGTGCAGGGTGACAGGAGCTGTGGTGCAGGGGGACAGGAGCTGTGGTGCAGGGTGACAGGGGCTGTGGTGCAGGGTGACAGGAGCTGTGGTGCAGGGTGACAGGAGCTGTGGTGCAGGGGGACAGGAGCTGTAGTGCAGGGGGACAGGAGCTGTGGTGCAGGGTGACAGGATCTGTGGTGCAGGGTGACAGGAGCTGTGGTGCAGGGTGACAGGAGCTGTGGTGCAGGGTGACAGGGGCTGTAGTGTAGGGTGACAGGAGCTGTGGTGCAGGGGGACAGGAGCTGTGGTGCAGGGTGACAGGGGCTGTGGTGCAGGGTGACAGGAGCTGTGGTGCAGGGTGACAGGAGCTGTGGTGCAGGGGGACAGGAGCTGTAGTGCAGGGTGACAGGAGCTGTGGTGCAGGGTGACAGGAGCTGTGGTGCAGGGTGACAGGAGCTGTGGTGCAGGGGGACAGGAGCTGTGGTGCAGGGTGACAGGAGCTGCGGTGCAGGGTGACAGTGTGGACGACTGGCAGTAGGCGACCTTGTAGCTGACCCTGCTGGCGATGTGAAGTCAGTGGAAGGGAGCAGGGGGAGGTGAGGGACTCTAGCCGAGGATGACACGGGAGAGATTGCACTGCAGCCGGTGGAGTTTCTTGAGGATACTCAATGAATTTCGAACCAGGACAGAGTTTGCAGAGTTCAAGGCGAGATGTCGGTGGGGATGAGTGGACGGCAATGACGTGAGTGCCTTGAGGTGGTCTTTGCAATATATGATCAGGTTTGTGTAGCTGTCGAGGGATGAGATGTGATGGGAGAATTGGAGAGTGGAGCCAGCGATTAATATGCGCGAAGGATGCGTGGAGGTGGCGAGGGGCTGTCTGGTGCCAATCAGAATGGCTTCCGATTTGGAACCATTCAATGAGAGATTGTTGACCCAGAACCACTGCTGCAAGGCGGCGGTGCACTCTGTCAACTCCCTCGCCTGGTATGCAGGGAGTCGTGGTGTTCATGGGTTCGATCCCAACCCTGACGTCTTGTTGTGCAGGGCGCTTCAAAAAAATGTTAACACTAACATGGGACTATCGTTTTTAATGGATAAGGAACGGATAATACACTGTAACAAGATAATACATTTCGATTTAAAGCTTTCGTGACTGCAGGGGTTCATCTTCTTGATTCTTTCGGTAAAGTCACGTAGAATGGAAAAAATAAAACATAATAAAATAATTCTCACGACGTTTCGGCCTGGTGAAGAACAGGTCTGTCGAGAAGACAAACTGTCTTCTCGACAGACCTGTTCTTCACCTGAGGACGGCTGCTTGCGTTGTGGCCGAAACATCGTGAGCATTATTTTATAATGTTTTATTTTTATTATTTTATTATTTCCATTCTACGTGACTTTACCGAAAGAATCAAGAAGACGATAACACATGTATGTTCATGAGCTTAAAAATGTCAAAGCGCCTCCACTTGATAATTGTTTTTTTACCCTTCTATCTGGCAACAAAACTTACCCTTCTATCTGGCAACAAAACTGTTGCCAGATAGAAGGGTAAAAAAACCAATTATCATATTTTTACTGGCAAATGAGGCGCCTCCACTTGTTCGCCATCATTGTCAACACACGCCTGGAATCTTCTCCAGGTGGTCTCCAGAGGCCCGGAGGGACATCTCATGCGGTATTGTTGCAAATTCTCAGAAGTGTAAAAAACAATTTGAAGCACGCTGTGTGTGTGGAGCCTGAGTCCGTCTCTCTCGGCGGTCGCGTGGATTTTTTGCTCTTCTTCTCCGGATCCTCCAGAGACTTTCACTCCCCCCCCCCTCCTCCACATTGAGCATCAACATCCACGCGTTGTTGGCCGCTGGACGCTGTTTCCAAAAATGTGACTCCCCAAATGACTCCATTGGGGAAACAGATTCTCGGACGCTGTCTTTCGGACGCTGTCTTTCCGACAGCCCTGTTCTTCACCTGAGGACGGCTGCTTGCGTTGTGGCCGAAACGTCGTGAGAATTGTATTTTATTGGGTTTTATTTTTATTACTTTATTATTTCCCTTCTGCGTGACTTTACCGAGAGAACCAAGAAGACGAACAGATTCTCGTCATAGTTGAGACGCGAATTGAATCAACCGAGGGCTGCGTGGCGCCCCCTGGCGATCACGGCCCGGCAAGGCGCTTTGCGCAGGGAGATCCATTTACAGATACCCCACTAAGACGACAGGGGAAAATTCCAGTATGGAAGAACAATGCAACGCCTCCCATCAATGATGAGATCGTAGAACTCTCTCCTGAGAACACTTACTCCACCAGAGCCCGTGGGAGCTACTTACAGCGTTGTAATGACGCGTGAAGCCGAGGAGGTAATTTGAAAGCAGCGGGGTATCAATATTATCAAACTGAATTATTCACACGGAACGCTCGCAGTACGGGAGCTCTGTGCGCCTTACCTGGGAAGATGAAACATAGTTTAGCTTTCTTTGTCGATGTTTACAAGTGGTTTTGTTTATTGTTTGTTGTTGTAACGTTCTGACCTGCCCCGACTGGACATCTGTGGAAAAAAAACTTTCTAGCTCATCGGATTCCTGCAGGATAAAACACATTCCTGCGGAGGGAGCTGGTAGGAACTTTGGGTTGCTCGGTCAATGGCCAGGGTCAACGGCGGTGTGGTGTATTCCGCAAATATGCCCGACTGTGAGGGCGGGCACAAGCCGGCGTGAGTAGGTTAAACGTTGAGTTTTATAAGGGCACCACGGGGTGACCAGCCGCTCCCCACCCAGCCCCATCCCTCCCACCCCCCACCCAGCCCCACCCTCCCCACCCAGTCCCTCCCCACCCTTCCCTCTCCACCCAGCCCCACCCTCCCATTTTTGGATGCACGACGGACGGACGGACACAATAATCCCCTGTGGACTGGTGTAACCAGGAGGTTCCTACTACTATAAATGTTCAAATTCTGACAATGCTTGCTTGCCCTCGAAGGCTGTGTTGCAATGCGAGGGATGTTCATCTTCCCCGTTTGTGTCCTCCTTCAGAACCATGGCGAGGTTGCTCGCGCTGCGGGCCTGGTGCCTGGGCCTCATGGTGGCCGTGACCCTGGCGATGCCCACTGGCCACCCGGCGACCTTGCCAACCTCGTGGGCAACACCGGGGCCTTCGCAGGTGAACGCCACCTCCTACCAGTCTCCCGATAATGAACCAGACCACAGCCCCCACCACCAATGATTGATGATGATGATGATAGCTGATCCGGTAAAGTCAAGCAAAAGAAACAGCTTTTGCTTGACTTTACAATCAGCGACTCGATCAAGAAAGCCGATTTACTCGATCGTAAATAAACCAGGGAAGAACTATCAATCGAACTCGCCAATCAATTAATATATTTATTATTAGTGCATCCAGTAACAGCCAGTAACAATGCAATCCATCACGCAATCTTCAAGCAAAAACAAACCAATCAGTGAATAAGCCAAAGAATTATTAAATAAATCAGCAAGTGAATTGATTACATCGAGGAATCAATCAGAGAGCCAATCAATAAATACTGCAACTTAACAACCAATCAATAAATCAGCGGATAAAATCAGTTGATCGACGATCAACTCAAGCGTCCATCCAATTCAAAAATCCCACGCGCTCCCCCTCCAGCGTCGCCTACGAGCCAATCAGTCTCCTCTGCTGGCCTCTCACCCCCTCACCCAACCGCCCGTGCCGTCGATCCCCTGCCACCACCACCCGCCCCACCCGCCCCACCCCTCCATTCAATTCCTGCCTCAGGACCTCCTTCACCGCCGTTCAGCGACGCGAGCGCCTCCCATCTAGAGGATCAACGCGCCCACCGCGCGCCTCGCAGACGCGGGCGGTGTCGCGTTTGGACATCGCCGCGCGAATCCTGAGACTGCATCGCGCTGCAGAAGCAAATCAAAGCGCGTAAACCGCCCTCACCGGTGAAACACCGAGCCCGTGAACCCCAACGGGACAAACCAAACCGAGAGCCCAACGAACTGCGTCCGGCTCCGTGAGCCACTCGCTCATCGCTTGGCACGTGCCAAGCGATGGGGAGGCCGTCACGTGGCTCTGTGGCTACGTGGGCTGACGACGACACGCACTTGCTCAGGTATCTATTTTTCTTGTGAATCTGGCCCTCTGCGTAAAACCATTTGCAAAATAAGTCGCTTGTCACCGCAGGGCGAGGTCGTGACCGACGGCTCGGGGTCACCGGGAAATCTGCCGCTGCTGCCGACGGCGTCGGCGCTGGGTGAGCCCCCCGTGGGGGGCGCCGCCGTGCCCCCCCAAGAAAAGACGATGACGACGACGCTGCCGGTGGCGGCGGTGGCCGTGGCTCAGGCCGGCCGGGCCCTGGCATCTACGTTGGCCTCCCGAGGGACCGGGGAGGCTGCCGCGACTCCAGAGACTCAAGAGCCTCCTGCGACATCTGCTGCTGCTTCTTTTATCGCTGCTGCAGGTGCCCTTGCCGCACCTGCTGTTGCTCCTGTTGCTGCTGTTGCTCCTACTGCTGCTGTTGGTCCTACCACTGCTGCTCCTGCTGCTGCTGCTGCGAATGGGTCAACTGCCGCTATTGCTGCTGCTGCTGCTGCAGCTGCATCCGTTGAAGAGAAGTCACGAAATATGAAGCGCAGTGGCACCGAGTTGGTTACTGCGACGCAGCCATCGCTTACAACGGCTTCACCATCGGCAGCAGCATCATCAGTAGCAGCGGTGGCGGTGGCACTTTCACCAGCATCGTCATCATCACCACCGCGAGCAACAGCATCGTCGACGACGTCTGCGCCACCAAATGCAACGCTGTCGACTATATCCGCAACGACACCAACACCATCATCATCATCGTCGTCATCTTTACCACTTTCAACAATGTCATCGACATTACTACCATCAGCACCATCGTCGCCGCCACCATCGGCACAATCGTTATCACCAACATCAGCACCAACACGTTCATCATTCTCCCCTTCGATATCATTATCGCCAACATCACCAGCGTCGTCATTATCATCAACAGCGAATTCAACAGCGAATTCAACTGCCTCATCGCCACCATCACCATCATCAGCAGCGTCACAATCACCCACACAGCCATCATCAACAACACCGTCATCATTATCAACATCACCGCCGCCGCCTTCATCACCGCCACCAGACCCACCATCACCGCCACTATCACCGCCACCACCAACAACAACATCCACACCTCCCACGCTCAACTCCACCGCCACCCGCCCTCAACCCCAGACCACAGCCAACGGCACGGACATCGCCGCCCCACCGCTGGGCCTGTGGCAGGGCGGGAACCTGTACCTCCTCGTCGGCGGCATCGCCGCGCTGGTGGCCTTCGCCGCCGGCGTCGCGGCCTTCGCCGTCTACCGGTGCCACCGGCGGCAGCGGCGCGGCCGCGGCAGCTACCGGCCGGCCGCCTCGCCGATGCCGTCCAACTACTACGCCTCGGTGCGCTCCACCTTCGCCCCGGCGGGCACGGCCCGACGCCTCAACGTGGCCAAGGAAGCGTCCAGGGCGGCGCGCTTCAACTCGTGGGCCGGCCCCGCGCCCCTCGCCTCCGCCTACGACCGCTACGACGCCGACGGCCCCCGCGAGACGGCGGCCCTGCTCGACATCGACGCCAACCTCGACGGGCAGGACGGAGGAGGAGGCGGCGGCGGCGGCGGAGACCCGAGGGCCGCCCCGACGGGAAGTCCATCGGGGGCCACGTCCCCCGGTTCGTGCGGTGGCCTCATGACGTTCAGGAGAGCGTCGGCGGCGGGGCTCGCGGCGGCGGCTTCCGTGCCGCGCCTCAACCTCAGCCCGGGGCCCCACGACCCTGACGGGGCCCAGCTGGCCGGGGAGTGGCACCTCATCCGCCTGCACAGCGCGCACGGGCCCCGCAGGGCGGTGGCGACGGCGGCGCTGACAGCCGAGAGGGACGGGGGCGACCCGGCGGACGGGAAGGAGGAGGCGGACGGGAAGGAGGAGGTGGTGATGGTGAACGGCGTGGGGAGCGCGCGGGGTGGCCTCGGAGGCGAACGCGGCTCCTCCTTGACTCTGACCACGGAGTTGTGAACTCTGTGAACTTTGCAAAAGGGGAACTGTTATCGAGTTGACCTCTGCGAGGTCAAGTTCAGGTCAGCGTATGCCACTGCAGGCGGAGGCTGTGTTTTTGTTTGTTTGAAGAGGGGCAATTGAGATGTAGCGCACCGTAACTCTGCGTGTGTATACGAGATGTGGAATCATTGACCCCCCCCCCCCACTCTCACCCCGGAGTTTGATGAATCGTCACAAATGCGAGGTCACGATTCGATTGCAGACCTCGTTACTTTGCGTCTGTTTGTTGGCGCTTTCAAGCGAGCTGAGGCACGGGCAGTCTCCCCTTCCACAAACGGAACATGAAATAATCTCCCAAATGTAACTGCGGGACACAGCAACACGCAGTGGAAGACATCGTGAACTCATGTCCACTGTGAGCCTATGGGTCTTCTATGTGTGAGTCTATGGGTCTCTGCGTGAGTCTATGTGTCTCAGCGTTAGTCTGTGAGTCTCTATGTGAGTTTGTGGATCTCTGTGTGAGTCTATGGGTCTCTGTGTGAGTCTATGGGTCTCTGTGTGAGTCTATGGGTCTCTGTGTGAGTCTATGGGTCTCTGTGTGAGTCTATGGGTCTCTGTGTGAGTCTATGGGTCTATGCGTGAGTCTGTGAGTCTATGTGTGAGTCTATGGGTCTATGTGTGAGTCTATGGGTCTCTGTGTGAGTCTATGGGTCTATGTGTGAGTCTATGGGTCTCTGTGTGAGTCTATGGGTCTATGCGTGAGTCTGTGAGTCTCTATGTGAGTTTGTGGATCTCTGTGTGAGTCTATGGGTCTCTGTGTGAGTCTATGGGTCTCTGTGTGAGTCTATGGGTCTATGCGTGAGTCTGTGAGTCTATGTGTGAGTCTATGGGTCTATGTGTGAGTCTATGGGTCTCTGTGTGAGTCTATGGGTCTATGTGTGAGTCTATGGGTCTCTGTGTGAGTCTATGGGTCTATGCGTGAGTCTGTGAGTCTCTATGTGAGTTTGTGGATCTCTGTGTGAGTCTATGGGTCTCTGTGTGAGTCTATGGGTCTCTGTGTGAGTCTATGGGTCTATGTGTGAGTCTATGGGTCTCTGTGTGAGTCTATGGGTCTATGCGTGAGTCTGTGAGTCTCTATGTGAGTTTGTGGATCTCTGTGTGAGTCTATGGGTCTCTGCGTGAGTCTATGTGTCTCAGCGTTAGTCTGTGAGTCTCTATGTGAGTTTGTGGATCTCTGTGTGAGTCTATGGGTCTCTGCGTGAGTCTATGTGTCTGAGCGTTAGTCTGTGAGTCTCTATGTGAGTTTGTGGATCTCTGTGTGAGTCTATGGGTCTCTGCGTGAGTCTATGTGTCTCAGCGTTAGTCTGTGAGTCTCTATGTGAGTTTGTGAATCTCTGTGTGAGTCTATGGGTCTCTGCGTGAGTCTATGTGTCTCAGCGTTAGTCTGTGAGTCTCTATGTGAGTTTGTGAATCTCTGTGTGAGTCTATGGGTCTCTGCGTGAGTCTATGTGTCTCAGCGTTAGTCTGTGAGTCTCTATGTGAGTTTGTGGATCTCTGTGTGAGTCTATGGGTCTCTGTGTGACTATTGGTCTCTGAATCTACGGGTCTCCATGTGAGTCTGTGGGTGCCTGCATGACTCTATGGGTCTTTGTGTGAGTCAATGAGTCTCTGCATGAGTCTACTAGTCTCTGCGTGAGTCTATGGGTCCCCACGTGAGTCTATGAGTCTCTCTGCGAGTCTATGGTCTCTGTGTGAGTCTATGTGTCTTTGTGTGAGTCTATGGGTCTCTGTGAGAGTCTATGAGTCTCTCTGCGAGTCTATGGGTCTCTGTGTGAGTCTATGAGTCTCTCTGCGAGTCTATGGGTCTCTGTGTGAGTCTATGAGTCTCTCTGTGAGTCTATGGGTCTCTGTGTGAGTCTATGGGATTCACGCTCACTGTGCTCTGAAGCCGTCGGCAGCAGCTGAATTCACAGCGTAGACATCGAATTACAGCTGCGACTCATTGTCCACGTGACAGAAGAACAAGTGCTGTACAACTCAAGTTGAAGGTACGAATAACTCTGCAGTGGGCTCACGATTACTCTCATAACGACGATCAAATATGAGTGATTTTATGTCGTTGCTATTCGGGACTTGCCACAGGGGAAATCGGCCACATTGATGAAAGGGGTGATTTGCGAGAGAGAAAAAAACCAGCGCTAAAAGGATTTATCCTCGGTCGCCAATGCGATGGCGTGACTGCTCGGCGAATGAAACCCCAAGGACAAAATGCGCACAATCTGGACAGTGTCACAGAAGCACCACGCGTGCGATCCGTTGTTCTTCCTTGCTACCGTTAGCGTCGTCCGCCGTGTTCCTTACAAGTAACCCCGTGCGCACAACGCGCCGGAGTCGTGCTCGCCTCTCGGCACGGGCGATTAGAGGCACGTGAGCATCGAATTGTGTCACTCGTGACGCTTAAATTGCATCGCCTGCCCTGCTGAGCTATGGACCAAAGTGAGGACCTTGATGGTGCGTGGCGATCATGACGATGATGCCAAGTGGCGACGATGACGATGATGCTGAGTGACAATACGCACCGAGCCTGGGTTCTTCCAGGCTGCCGGGCACGGGTTTGAAAGTTCACACACCAGCGAGTGATCGTTCTGCTCCGGCACCGTCTGGAATGACATCGCGATGCCGGCTCGTGGGAGTGATTCCGAGCTGCGGCAGCGGTGACGCGACGGGAGGGCGCGCGAGTCCGTGATTTAAACATTTTCCTTGCACGAGGGTGGCTTCAAGGTCACTCTTCAAGGTCACTCCCAGACTGTTGCTTCTGAGGGAGGGGGGCGCTTGGTTGGGCGACGATCCCTGAGGACGAGTGGGAAGAGACGCGTCTCCCAAAACGATTCGAGCCGAGAGACGTTTTGCTTCCGTGCTGCACTGGGCATTCGGGCACTTGGCGCGTGGGTGGCAGTGGTGCTGTGTGTGTGAGTGTGCGTGGGTGGGAGTGGTGCTGTGTGTGTTAGTGTGTGTGGGTGGGAGTGTTGCTGTTTGTGTGAGTGTGGGTGGGAGTGGTGCTGTGTGTGTGAGTGTGTGTGGGTGGGAGTGGTGCTGTGTGTGTGAGTGTGCGTGGGTGGGAGTGGTGCTGTGTGTGTGAGTATGCGTGGGTGGAAGTGGTGCTGTGTGTGTGAGTGTGCGTGGGTGGGAGTGGTGCTGTGTGTGTGAGTGTGCGTGGGTGGGAGTGTTGCTGTGTGGGTGAGTGTGCGTGGGTGGGAGTGGTGCTGTGTGTGTGAGTGTGCGTGGGTGTGAGTGGTGCTGTGTGTGTGAGTGTGTGTGGGTGGGAGTGTTGCTGTGTGTGTGAGTGTGGGTGGGAGTGGTGCTGTGTGTGTGAGTGTGCGTGGGTGGGAGTGTTGCTGTGTGTGTGTGGGTGGGAGTGGTGCTGTGTGTGTGAGTGTGTGTGGGTGGGAGTGTTGCTGTGTGTGTGAGTGTGGGTGGGAGTGGTGCTGTGTGTGTGAGTGTGCGTGGGTGGGAGTGGTGCTGTGTGTGTGAGTGTGCGTGGGTTGGATATGAGCTGTGCTGTGGATGGAGACTTTTGAGAATCGGTGCAGCGGCCACGATTCTGAAATTAAAACTTCCATCTCCGTTAGCAAAAGTCCGGGACTGACTTGAACCGCCCTCGTGTATAAGAATCCGGATGGTCTCAGCACTTGAGTGTTTGTTGTCGTAGTAGGGGCTCATTATGCCCTGAAGAACCCAGGGACGCGATGGTACTGGCGATGAGACGTGTACGAGCAGTGACCTCTGACCTATGTGAAAAAAGCGGTAACCAAAATGTTGACTGTAGTAATGTTACAGGGGTCTTAGACATGTCCAGACTCTCTTCCTTCATTCATTCCTCAAATTCTTGACTCGGGAGTCAGGGGCAGGAGGGAACACGCGGGAGGGGGGGGAGGGGGGCAGGAGGAAGACACCCAATCTGACCGGGCGTCGAACATCAAGCACTTGACGGAGTGGGAGCCACCTGGGTGATCGATGCCTGCGATGGACACAGAGAGAAAGAGGGAAGTGGAGATTGCACTGCAAGGCGATATCGGCGCAGGAAACGGGTGTGCCCCAAATGGCACCAAAAGAGCTTCATAGCTCATCAGATTTGTCCAGTCTAAATACAGAATCTGAAAAGAATGAGTAAGATTTTTAGTAAATCAATAAAATATTTGCTTAACATGATCTGCACCTTTGCTCGTTGTCCAAATGGTCACAACGAGGATCAAAGGTTCCCTGGTGGTACAGTCGTAGGTAGGCAAAGCCTACGTGAGGCCTAACGTCACAGGTACGCAAACTAACTTTGTGTAAAACAATGGGGGGGGGGGGGGGGGGGGAGAAAATAGAGTTGATGAGGTCAAAGGTGGTGGAGGGGCCAAGACCTCAGGAGGCAGAGTTCAGGGCTCACCGTGCAATACGGCGTCATTGAGGACTGTGCTTTAGAGAATGATTCGCCCCATCCATAAACTACGAGCTAAACTCTTTTATTTTACCAGGTAAGGCCACGCTGAGCCCTACTGTACGGCTCTTTTTCAGAAGCGACCTGGCCACAAATGACAGTTCAACGAAGTGGCTTATTGCGTGGAAATGTATCAGCGAAATACTGAAAACGCACTTTGACTCTAAATGTGGAGGGGAAACCCAGGAGGACCCGGGGACAAATCGACGCGACCACGGGGAGAGAGACACGCAGACTCCAAATACACAACAGGGATCGAACCCACGACCTCCTGTATACGAGGCGGAGCTAGTTAACATCTCGGTGTCCCCAGGGTGTCTCGAGTCGGTGGATGCGTGTGGAATACCGAACACAGACACGGGAACGCGTCCCACGCGTTCAATGCAGCCACCATCGTTGTCCGTGCACGGATTTCACCGGGGGTCGGCCCATCTGTGCTGAACGTCGGTGAAGGTGGTTACGACACGTCATTTTGGAGGGCAAATCTTCGCGAATGTGAAAATGTCTTTGGCGAGCCAGGAAATGTGAGCCGTCTGATGTTTCCGCTTGCATGGTGCATGGGCCGCCCCGTGGACCTCTGTTGGTTTGAGCCTCTGGTGGTTTGAGCCTCTGGTTTTATTCAACTCGCCAGGCCATACAGCACTTCAGTAATGTCCATTGCGTGGTTACTCGGTGGGGCACAGTCCGAGTTGAGGAATGCAATGTACAATGCTATTTTATTATTATTCCACTCGATTAACCCGGGGAAGCTTCACCGAATCTCGTGACTCCTGTTTCAGGAGGGTCCTGCCAGGTTATCGCAGTGCAGTGTGCGACACTGCACTGTGCGACACTGCACTGCTGCCGCTGCTGCAGTTGCAGCTGCTGCTGCGTGTGATCCCAAGCAAGGGATTTGCAGGTACAGCAATACCCCGGTTTACGTCGGAGATGCGTTCCTGAAAGGTGCGACGGCGATTATCGAATCGACGCCCATCGAAGCGAAGTACAGGGGTAGCAGTGGGTGGTGGTGGAGGGCGACGGCTGAGATGCGACGGATGACGAGAAAGGGCGGACGATGATGCTGTCAGCGACGTAGGTGTGGGGATAAGGCGACGTAAATTGGGTCGCGGCGTTAATGATGAAGCGACGACGTCTTTGCGAAACGACGTGACAGAGACGTTAGTCGGGGTATCGCTGTGTTTGTCTTCAGCAACGGGATGTGTTGGCCGATCAGCACCGGTTACATTGTATTGTTTTTATTTTAGCTTTGGGAGGAAACCGGGTGATGCCGGAGGTAACCCAAACAATGCCAAGCATTGTTGTTGTTGTTATTGTTGTTGTTTAAAACGATTTATCGCTCTCCTCACTCAGTGCCTTCTCCACGCCAGAGGTTGTCCTGGTTTTCACCGCCTGTCTCGCCGGCACTCTACAATAAAGATCGGACGAGTTCATTCGATCGGCTGTGCCCGCCTCTGTGTGACTGTGTGTGTGACTGTGTGTGTGACTGTGTGTGCGACTGTGTGTGACTGTGTGTGTGACTGCGTGTGTGACTGTGTGTGCCGTCGTGGCGAGCGTGTGGATTACGGTGGCTCTCTTGAAGATGGACCTGCTTAGACTGAATATCTGTATCACGTTGTGCTGCTATGAGCCACTTGGGGGGAAGCGGTCACATTGACGCAAAAGGTTATCATCGGCCAGAAAGTGGGGATGACAAAAAACACACACATCACACACACACAGCACACACACACACAGAGACACACACAGCACACACACACACAGCACACACATACAGCACACACACACACACACACAGCACACACACACACAGACACACACACACACAGACACACACACACACAGACACACACACACAGCACACACACAGCACACACACACAGCACACACACACACACACAGACACACACACACACAGCACACACACACAGACACACACGCAGCACACACACGCAGCACACAGCGCTGAGAGTGTTTGTGGTGCCACGGCCACCGGAGCAACTCCGCCAGCGCCGCGACTCCCCCCTGGCCCCCACCCTGAGCACACACACACACAGCACACACACACGCACAGCACACACACGCACAACACACACACGCAGCACACACACACGCAGCACACACGTAGCACACACACACACGCAGCACACACGTAGCACACACACACGCAGCACACACACACACGCAGCACGCACACACACACAGCACACATGCAGCACACACGCAGCCCACACACACGCAACACACACACACACAGCACACACGCAGCACACACACACGCAGCACACACGCAGCACACACACATGCTGGCTGGGGTATTAAAGCCGGCGAGGTCTCCTCCCAAGGTCCGGGTCCAATTCCCACCGCTCCCAGAGGTCGCGGGACGAGGCCACGCACCGACCCGGCCACTCAGGGCGGGAGGTCGTTGCCGAAATGTTGCGTTGATATATTCGTTTGTTCAGCGCTATTGACGTTGTTGATGGTAACTGCGTTCGTGCACCGCTCGCAAGGCAGCTTTCACCCCCAATAATCTGCAGCCATAGATTTATAAATAGCCATAGATTTATACATATAAATAGCCATAGATTAATCAATATAAATAGCCATAGATTTATAAATAGCCATAGATTTATACATATAAATAGCCATAGATTAATCAATATAAATAGCCATAGATTTATAAATATAAATAGCCATAGATTTATACATATAAATAGCCATAGATTAATCAATATAAATAGCCATAGATTTATAAATATAAATAGCCATAGATTTATAAATATAAATAGCCATAGATTTATACGTATAAATAGCCATAGATTTATAAATATAAATAGCCATAGATTAATCAATATAATACTGTAGCCACAGATGTGTCCACGAGAGGGCAGTGATCGCCGCAGGGCCAGGCTCCAGTCACTACGTCGTGGACTCATGGAGCACAGGAGCACACTGCGCTCAACTCGGGTCCCATATCCAGCAGTGGAGGTCCCTGCCAGCAACATCTGGCAGTTCACGAGCTGTTGATTCAAGCGAGCCCGACTACTGATGAGAAGCCTGTCCGGGCTATTGGCTGTGTTGAATCAATGCCGCTGATGAGATGCACCATGGGAAGGCCGTGCGGCTGACGGGATGAGTAGAACTACTCGCAGTGTTTGTGTGGAAGAGGCTGTTGTTCTGCTTGGTTCGTGTTCCGAGCCAATGCAGCAGCTGTAGCTGTGCGTTTGTCCACAAGAGGGCATGACGTGACTTGTGTAGAATCTAAAGTGCACATACATCTCGTACCCCGACAGCCCGAACCCTTACCCCGAAACCCTAATAACCATAATATTGGTTGCAGCCATTCCTGGAGTCCTAATTCCATTTTCCAGATTCCAAATTTCATGGCGTTGGAATTCGGACTCCTGATATGGAATTCGGATTCGCGAGTGTGGCTTTGGAACTCCCCATGGCCCCCGTTGGACTCCAGACCCATCCCGCACCTCCCCCGGGACCCACCCTGGAGCACCCCGTGACCCGCCCCAGATCCCCACCCCCTACCCAGACCCCACCAGACCCCCCCCCCCCGAACCCCCCCAGGAACCACCTCAGACCTGCCCGACCCATTCCGGACCAACCACGGATTCACCCAAGCACCCCACAGAACTTATCCGGACACCCCCCCCCCCCAACCTAAACTCACCCAGGACCTCCCCAGGACCTACCTGGACCGGCACCCCCACCAGGGCCCCCCCAGGGAGCCCCTCGGACCTACCCCGGACCCTCCTCGAACCCACGCCAGACCCCCCCCCCCCACCCCAGGACCCTCCAGCACCTACCTGGACCCCCCTCCCCCCACAGACCAACCCAGGACCCCCACCCTCCGAACCCACCCGGACCCAAACTGGACTCCCCCGCAAACCACCCCAAACCCACCCGGACCCACGCAGGGACCACCCCAGACCCCCTCCCGGACCCCGCGCCCCCCAGACTGCTCCCACTCACCCAGGACCACGCTCAGATCTACCCTGGACCCCCCTTCCCAGACCTAACCCGGAACCCCACGGACCAACCCGACAGATCCCTGAACCCAACCAGGACCCTCCCCAGACTGCTGCCACGCAGCGACAAAAGCCACGACGAGTGGATAGGGCCGAGGCGTGGTGCCGATTGCAGGTGTGGAGGGTGTGGGCGAGTGGGGAGGGCATCTTGTTATTGCCTCGAATACAACCGAGTCACAACCCACTCGTACCAAATTGTCCATACGCACAGAACATTCATTTATTCTCTGCAAGATCAGATAATGTACAGGTGATTGACACTGAATGCCCAACACTTGCGCCTTTGAAAATCAAACTCTACACAGCACCGGGGATATTGTGGTTTTATTAAATATCAAGACAATGCCAAAAGTAATGGGGAAACCCAAAATGCCTGCATTGCACCAAACCTGAATATAGAAAACATTTGGTTGCTCATAAATGTGTTGAAAGTTCATTTCAATACACCACAATTGTTGATTTTCCAACCTTAACATTTGATTATTTAAAAGAAAAAATCTATTTTATTCCAGCATGCAGTGTAGTGTTCCATTAAAAAAACACCCTACAAATGTATTCAGTGGCAGGGAACATGATATATATCTCACAACCACCCCACACATCGACTGTACTCCCCATCCGTGAATCAGATTTATACAAGTATGCGTATATGTGTTACCCAAAAATGCTGATGGTTTTAAACAGTCAATTGTGCGACCAGGATGTTGTTCAGATTCTGCAGCCAATCATTCCTGCTGTGTCGTTGTAAATGTTCGTGCATTTGGCAAGGTTTGGAGCAGAATACGGTTATTATTTGTGATACTAATTTCTTGTTACAGAACCATCTGCAGAAGAAAAAATAATAAAGTTCACTTAATTAAATATATTTTCCAACGGTTTAAACTAAATATGTTGAATTAATGTATGGGCACCCTCAGTCCACGCTCTGCTATTCTACAAGCGCTGGTGCGGACCCATCGGCCGTGTTCAGATCTTTCAGCTGTCCCTCCAGCTCTGTCCATGACGACACCGACTCGTGCACAGCCACCGTGTGCTCCTCCATCTGCTGCTGCAGCGTTTCCATCTCAAACCTAGAGCAGCACACAAACACACCACGTCAAGTCGCGCATCACGATTACGTGTCTTCAACTAACAAGTGGGACTTCACAGTTCATCATCATGAGCTTTGGGTAAAAGCCTCCCCAAGTCGCCGCCACCTTTCACAATCCTGCGACGTAAAGATCTGCGCAGGACCTTGCACACCAACTGATGTCGTCCCCTCCATCTGTTTTGTGGATGTCCCCACAGCCCATTTCACGTGAATTACTAGCTCTTTTCAAGTGGATTGCCAGTGGTTTTCACGTGGACTACCAGCTCTCCAATTACTATTTTTATTTTCCTAGCTAAGGCCCACTGAGCTCTTTTTCAAAAGTGACCTGGCCACAAATGACAGCTCGGCGAACTGACTTATCATGTGGAAATTTATAGCAGCCAAACACTCAATGCAAGTTTCTGGAAAATTGGAGGACCTGGAAGAAAATTCAAGCGACACAGGAAGAACATGCAAACTCCAAAATACAGCAGGTGTTAGGGTCGGGATCAAACTTTCGACCTCCTTTATACCGGGCGTGGTAGGCAATGGTGGAGCCAGGATTTTCAGGTAGGGGGGGGCAACCCCTCCAGCAATGAAAAATGATAGAGGAGTTGTTAGTAAGTAAGGACTTGTCCCTTGCTTTTTATTCGACGCGTGTGCGGCGATGGCGCAGCCATCGATCGAGGGTCGAATTCGAACCGCGTTGTGTGATCGGCATCAGCGCTCGCTGAAGGTGAATGCCTTCAGGGAAGTCGTGGACTGTAGACGCAACTGCGCACAATTCTGTGAGTCACTTATAACTGATTTGCCGTTACTTATTGCTAATTATAGACTCAGACTATTGTCCTATCATCTCATAAGAGTCCCTGGCACGTAATAATATGCTACAAAGTGGCAGTGGGGGTCGCAAAATGCCAATTTATTACTAATAAACCCCAATGATCCGATCGAAATTAGGGATTTCGATCGGCTCATTGGGGGGGGCACGTGCCACCCCACCCTCCCCACCAGTGGTGGTAGGTAACATCTCGCCACCGAAACGCCCCCATGAGAATTACCAGTATGAGCCGAGTGGATTAACAGTATGTTTCCTGTAGATTATTTGACAATTCACACAACAGATATTCAACATCATCTTCAGCCATGAACAGCTGACTGCTGGACGAAGGCCTCCTCAAGCCGTCATCACCTCTCACGATCTTCCAACGCAACAATAGAGCTGGCACCTGCGCACAAGCTTCTGTTATTGATCCATCGCCTCCATTCCATGGCTGCCACTCCCCCCTCCCCATAATTATTAACCATCGGCCGTCATCCCTTCCAACAAAGCGTTCTGCCCAAGCTCACTTCTCTGAATAGTTGGGATGTTGTCATTCGCCTGCCAAGTTCTCAATCCATATATTCCTCTTTCTAAATCTGTAGTTCTAACCATGTTTCTCTCCATGTTTGTGTGTGTACTGTCCGCTGTTCTGCTATATTTTATCGTTAATTACCTTCTTTATTAATCCTATAATAGCAGGTAGTACATACTGGTTAAACACCTTCTTTAAACACATTGGTATATTACTTTTCATTATCATCAGGCTTGGAGAACAAGTTGTCCACAACCACAACAGATGTTAGCTCCATTACGAATGAATCAAAGACAGACCTCAGCTTTTGCAGGCAGTTCTGCAGGTTGGCCAAGGGCTGAGCTGGGGCCGGATTTGGGGGCCTCAGCAACTCCTCCAGGAGCGCAGCCGGAACAGGGCATTGTGGGATGTGCAAGCTCTTGCCAGAACCAGGCAATGTGCTCGCCACACCCGCAGCCTGAATTGAAATACGATTATAGCAAAGATTACTGAATGCATTTCAGTGTGTTGCATTATACACGTTCAGTATTACATTTCAACTCTGCTATTCCATCATGCATTACAGGGCAAGGTTTCAAATTTACGTTTAACCAGGTGAGCATTCAAAAGCAATTGTACGGATGTATGTACGTTGCACTTCTTTCCCATCGTACGTAGCCAACCGTGCTAATAAACTAATACACAAAATATGAAAATGTACAGCGATTCATTGCAAAAATAACCAAATAGAAATCAGAGCAAAAAAAATCATTTGCATGACGGAATAGAAAACAGTCAAAAAAATTACATTCTTTTTTAAATGAATACATTTCCTGTAATGAATGTTAGGCTCAGACATATTACTTTTAAAACACATTCACAGCAAAATTAATTTACAAAAAAATTCAACGTTGAGTTCAGGCGATTAAAGTGTTTACACACTGCAATTTAATTTGTACTGAAGTTTTCAAATAAAAAAAGGCAGAAATAAAATAAGACGATACGAGGTTTTGCCGTGGCGTGTAATGTGTTGTTGCAAGTACCCTGCTCAACGACAGGGGCTGTTGCATCTGCTGCAGGTCCAATTTGAGCTGCTCGTTCTGCTGCAGCACCACCTTCATGCTGCTCTGCAGCTGCCTCACACGCGCTGCCGCTACAAACTTCTCCTTGCGAGTCTGAGCGAGCGCTTCTCGCAGGAGCTCCGTTTCTGACCTCGCTTCCTTTTCAGACACAAATCAAAAGTCAAAGTTATTTTCTACACAAACGAGACAGTGCTCATGTACTCCTGACCCAAGTGAGCAAGTGATGTAAATTCTGCATTTCCACGGAGAGAGAGTCTATCCATCGGACAACCACTGTTAACCTCCCCACAAATTGGTATCAATTTTATCGTCCCCTTGAGAGATGATGGGCCGAAGTGAGTCAACCCCCAAGCAGGATTTTAACTCGCAACCTTTTGATTGCGAGCAGTGTGATCTACTATTGAGCCACATGGCCATGAATATACCGTGCGTGTTTACTCAGGAAAGCCCCAGCCTCAAGACTCTTTTACAGGACGGGGCAATGTTGTTGTGTGTCATCCCAATTCAATAGCTTGCAGGTAATTTTTCATTGGGATGTTTGGCCAATGCCACATGGTTTTTTTTGTTGCTATGGAAATAAAACCCAAAGAAACGAGAGGAAACCATGGAAAACAGGGGAAGAAACTTACAAACTGCACGGAGACAGGCATTAGAGTCGGAAATCAAACGAGTGTTACCACAGCGCCATCCCGCTGCCTGGCATTGCCATCACACCGCCAGCAGTAAGCACATCTGTGATAGCCGCCCCCGACAGATTTGACAATGCGAAGTAGAGGCCTGTTAACCTTACTTGTGTAGCCGCCTGGGCACTCTCCGTTTCCATGCGACTCCTGTGTTCCGCTCCGGAGAGCTGCTGCCTCAGCGTCTGAATCTCGACGTCCTTCTGCTCGCACTGCCACTTCACGTCCTCCAGCTGAAAGTGACACACCAGGCTTTTCATTCATTCCCCGTTCCTACGACCGAGCGCGCGCGCAAACTCGCTCAGTGTTGAATTCTACCCTTTGGTTCTTTTATTTTTTCACCTACGTGACTTTACTGAAAGAAGCAAAGAGTATGGATTCTTGCAGTCACGAAAACTTCAAATCTGGAATTGAATTGTACCGTTTGAGTGTCGGGAAGCTGGCGAGTCTCGTCGCACAGTCGAATCTGCAGCGTCTTCACTTCCGTGCGAACTTCCGCCAACTCCTGCAGCAGCTCCGTCACCTCCCGTTCGCGAGATGCCTCTTTTAGCCTGGACACAATGACAACTTCTAAGCCACTAAGTATTGGTTTTTTTTCCCTTAAGTTCTACAATAAAGATCCAAATTATAATAAAAAAATATATGTTGGTGGAGTGGAATCAGTGGAAAAGATGAGGGGAGAAAATAATTAACATGTTATCTAGAGGCCGACCGAAATTCGGTTTCGGTTTCGGCGCCGGAAGTTGGCAAATGGCCACTTTCGGCATAGTTAGTTTCGGTTTCGGCCGAAAGTAAATTTTTAACTTTCGGTCTGGTTTCGGTTTCGGCCGAAACCAGAAATTCAGTTTCGGTCGGCATCTAATGTTATCATATGACAGCCACGCATGCAGAACGGGGTGGGGGGAGAACTCCATGCAGAAAGGCATCTCTGTCGGAAATCAAACCCAGGTCCTTCTTGCTGCGAGGTGCAAGTGTCACCCGCTGCACCACCCAAATTACAAACGAGCCGACACGTGGACCCCGATTTCATGTACTTGCCTTAATTCCTCCAATTCTTCCTGCATATTGCTCATCATCCCTTGCTTAGTGGAAAGCTCTTTTTTAAGCTCTGCCAATTCCAAGGAAGCTGCTTTGAAGTGGCGGCGATTGTCCGCTGCCTCGCACTTTGTGGAGGACACCTAATAAAAGACAGGAGCATTACGAGCACAGCAAAACAGCGACGTACCCTTCAATATGAGACATTACGCAGAGATTTCCTTATCAAGGGCATTGTGGTGGTGCTAATCTTGTGTGTGCAGCCCTCCGAGACAACTGGTGCCAAGTCCACAGTCCCCTGGCAGGGCTGAGTTTATCCACAGGACAACCACCGTTGACTTCCCACAAAGTGATTCTCAATGTATTGACCATGGAGGGTTGTGAGTCGAGTCGATCCTCAACGAGGGTTTAAACTTGCAACCTTCTTGCGAAATAACCGGAAACGTAGCATTACCGGCATTACAAATGACACTTGCAAAATGTATGCGGTGTATTAGTGGCTGAAGTAAACAAAAAAATATCGATGAAAATTGTCCAGAAAATTTGCCATCTGCAGGGTTTGTGAAATCAGTTCATGTACAACTGCTGGATGGATTGTTCCATCGCAGGATCATGAGAGGTGGCTGATGATGACGACAGGGCTTGTCAACCACGTGATAAGCAATCGCTCCCCTTGCAAGCATAATGCGACATTTTCATAAATACCAGATGTTTTAAGTCGGCCACATTTTCTTGCTCCTTGTCCAACGAGGTCTGCAGAGACTGCACGATCTGCTTCATGCGACAGTCTTCCTCTTCCTTCTGCCTCAGTACAGCTTGAACCTGCACATTAATTTGATACAATTCGGTATTGCCGCCATTCCCGCAGCGCAAGGTTACCAGGAAGATGCTGTGTTTCACACGGTCTGCGGTAATATCACTGTGGGAGACGATGTTGCAACGTGTTATCCCGATTGAGGCGATTTTGGGGCAATTCTTCAAATTTGGCAAATTTGCACCATGATGCTTGCGCACAAAATGGCCTACTATTTTCGAATGACGTCACGCGATCTTGATACACACAACTGCAGTATTAACCAGGACAGCCTGCCCGGTTTGAACTGCAACCCTCATCCACGAGCACTGGCAGCGCTGCCGCTGAGCCGCGTCGCTGCCCCAGTGTGAACACCGCACTACAGGACACACTTCACCAATACAGCTTCCTTGATTGGTTGGGACATTACAGACAACTGATAAGCATTATATTCTGAAAACTGCGCAAGTAAAATTACCAAAAATATGTCATGCCTGTCGCACAAAAGGTCACGAGCACTAACGCGTCGCATTTCAATTCGTGTGATTGTGTTTTGCGTAAGGAATTTGTGTCATGTTGTGTATTAGTGTCTTATGTGTCAGTCACAGATTTGCTCCACGTTGTGCGCGCATGTGTTTTGTCGCCGGAATGCAATGCTGCCGATCCGCTCGGGTATTAAAAACATTTCTCCACCACAATATCCACGGCCACAGCCTGTGCCCACGACGCCCACCTGCAGGCTGAGCTGACGCAGGTGGGCCTCAGCGGGTAGCCACTGCCGCCTGCAGCATGGCAGCATGCTCCTTGAGAGCCACGTGCGAGCGCATCGTCCCCGCCAGACGCCCCCGCTCGTGCTCCAGCTCGAGCGCCAGCCGCCGATTCAGCTGCTCCAGGCTGCGGACGCGCCTGTTGGCGCCGTGAAGCTTCTCCAGCTGCGCACAGACACAGACAGCCACGTGCGGTGGGGAATAGAACAGGGTGGTAGCGGGACAGTGCATTGGGAACAGTTGTTCCTCACAGCAAGAAGGTCCCAGGTTCGATTCCTGACTCGGGCCCTCTCTCTATGTGGAGTTGGTATGCTCTGCATGGGTTTTTTTTATGGGTTCTGCAGTTACCTCCCATAACTAAAAAAAACACAACATGAAACTGGTATTGGCCAAAACATCCCAATATTAAACGTGACATGCAAATCACTCAACTGGGATGACAACTCAACATTGTCCCCGATTGGAAAAACTTTGCAAGATTAATCCCAAAAAAAGAGTCTCAATGAGGCCTTCCCGGGTAAACAAGCAGAAAAATAATAATTCTCCCTCTGTAATAAAAATGGCTACTCGGTGTTTAAACTTGGGGAGTTCTCTACGATTATCATCACCACGCTCAGTACAACGATGACGACATTTATTTCCCTGCCGTGTCTCCAAACAAACCAGACCCCAGACCACGGCACTTCTGGCGCCACCAGCCATGGCAATAGCTGGGTAGGTGCGGAAGCAGTGAAAGGGTGCTAAGAACAATCACTGGCTTTCAACACCGTGCCTTCCTACAATTAACCATTACCGCGTAGAAACGGAATACGTCTGGAGAATGAAGCCTCGTCAAGTAGAAACTAAAATAAAATAGAAGCAAATGCAAAACATGTTCTTCTAAATATCTTCATGGCATACAAACAATTTCATGGAAAAGAAAAATGGGTAATAAAAGTGGGCACCCATCTCGTTTCAAACCCCGAAAGAGACAAGCAAATCTCACCTCTCCTTCCATGTCTAACATCTTGGTACGGCTCTCTGCTAAGTCCCGGCTTGTTGATGCAATCACTTCTTGGAGTTCCTTCTCAAGCATGTCTTTCCTTTCCACGACAGCACACAGCTCCGACTTAAGGGACTCCACATGTTCCTTCAAAAATATAAATGTAAAAAAAGAGCATTATTTTGATGTGTATAAAATTCATTCGGTAAATTGGGCCTTCGCGAGTTTTTTTTGCTTAGATAATGAGCATGCAAAAGAAGCGCAGATTCATCTGTTGTAATTGAGGAATTGTGGCACCAAATTTCGTCAGTATTGATGGTGGTTTAAATTTAAATCTTTCAGAATAACAATTATGTTAGACATGGTGTAAAAACCACACAACAGCCACGAGACAATGCAGCATCAAAGGATTTGTCTCTTCATTACTCTTTGCACAATGACAATTTCACATCCTCAAGACACTTCCTGCAGGGTAACGGTAAATGTCGTCGGGGGGGTGAAGATCAGACCGTCTCCACTTGGGCATTTTCTAGCACAAAAGCTACGCTCAGATTGTGGAATTATTTCATAGGTTAGTGCATTTTACAACACAATTTTTAAAAATAAAATTCCTAGCATGTTTGTGGCCAAAACGTATTCCAAGTTCTAAGCAAACTCACTTTTCAAACGATCGCACATCAACAAGTACACAATAAGCACGCACACACACACACGCGTGCGCGCAAAGGACAAAACTGATATATTTTGAATCTGGGATAAAAACATGTACTTAAAAACCACATCACATTAAATCAGTTGAAAGCAAAGACGTACTGCAGTAGGATGCGTGTTGGAGGCTGCAACGTTTGCCTGTAACTTGTTGAGCTCTAATTCGGCAGTCTCTTTCGCAGAAAGTGCCTCCTGCAGTTTTCTGCTCAATATGCTCACGGCATGTTCATACGCCTTGTGCTTAAGCTTCAAGTCTTTCTGTGCGGAACTCAAATCCGTTCCAATCTTCTTCATGCAGTTCTTTTGCTCTGTTATGGCTCTACAAACAAAACGAAAAATCGTTAAAAGTATCTTGACCGTCAAAAAAAAAATGAGTCGTAAAAAGTTAAACGGGAAATGTGAAAAACTTACTTTCTAGCCTCTCGTTGCAGTTGATCCAGCTGCGTCTTCAACTCCTCATTCTCCTGACTCGTGGATGACATTGATGACTATCTCTGACTGTAGTGACTGCATGTACAAATGGGGCACACACATTTCTGTATTACAATAATTAAGGCAGTTAATGCGAACGAGAGCGCATCAGGGGTGAGTTTGGAAAACTGAATAAGAAACAGTAAATAAGTGTGGACTACCTGCAATGGCAAATGGTTCAGAAACAGCCACCAACAAAAACATAGAACAGCACCAGAAAAGTGTGCAAAGCACGGAGAGATGTATTCCTAGCATTACATTTAGTCAGAAAGAAGAGCACATGGATTCACACCTAAAAGGGTTCATGGACGCTAGTAAAGAAAAAAACATAAATTTGGCAGCAAAGGAACGAAACGCATCCAAAATGATGTCCACTGAGGAGGTTGAGCGATGAAATCAATTCATGGACAAATGTTGGATGGAATATTGCACTGAAAGGTGGTTGCGTTAGCAGTTTGGAAATCCTTCATCCACCAGAGCATCTGGATTACAAAGATAATTTGGCTGCTATAAATTTCAACATGATAAGCAACATCGTTGAGCTATCATTTGTGGCCAGGTTGCTTCTAAAAATGAAGCAACATTTTTTTAAAGCGATTTATTTACCTTTCTTACACTTTGCACTCCTATCGTGTTTTTGTATTGTTTGTTAGTTTGGTGTAACGATCTGATTTGCCCCTACTGGGCATCTGTAATCCTTATAGCTCATCGGATTCCTCCTGTGTCAGTAAATATTCTGATCATGATTCTGGATTGATCTTGGCTGGTGATGATGCACCTCCGACATAGAGACAAAATATTTGCAAAAAGTGGTCCAATGATGTTGTTCATTGTGCAAATAGCACAGTGGAACCTGGAAATAATGTGGACAGATGTACCGTGTGATATACCATGTAATATACCGTGGCTTTTTGGGGGCCCATAACAATTTTCAAATAATCAAACCGCAAAACCTCAAAAAATAACAGCGTGCAAAGCAACGCTGCCGAGCTATTAGCCGTATCACCACGCTCTGCAAACACATCACACGCCAGGCAGTTTCAATTCCAGCACTGGCTCGTGATTTGCGGTGATTTCAATGGTGTTTTTAGCCTTGCAGCACTTGCATTTATTGTAATATTATTACAATATAAATATATAAATAACATAACAATAACATACAATTGCAAGTGATTTCTGCTCAAATGAGCAACGAGGTGGTGGTTCTCATCTCCCATTAACAGCAATGAGCCAGTGGTGGAAACTGCGCGTGCCTATGGCACGGGCGAGCATTTCAAGCGGGTGACCACTGTTGGTTTCCCCCACAAGTAGTATCCATTTCATTTCGCAGCAGGGATGACGGGCAGAGTCAACGCGCGACGAGGGTTCGTACTCGCAACCTTGCAATTAGGAACCTCTCGCTCTCTCCTGCCGAGCCACCGGGCGGGATATAAATATCATTTAAATACAATTACACGCTGTAAGTGGCTATGCAATACTATTACACATTCTAAATGGCTATGCAATACTATTACACGCTGTAAACTGGCTATGTAATGCTATTACACGCTGTCAACTGCCTCTTTTTGGTCTTAATGGAAATGGCGGGAATTTTTTTTTTTAAACTAGAATTTCGGCGGCCTAGCGACCACATTACTCTAGCTCCTACAGAGGGCTTCTCGGCACTTCGTGGCTTACCCCTACTGATGTCCTCTTCTACCCCCCCCCCCCCCTCAATGTGTGCAGATACTACGGACTCTATTGTATGTAGAGTGTGTAGGCATATATTCCTACAAAAGAAAATAATTGGGGGGGGGGGGGGGGTTGGACAATTTTTGTAAACTTTTTACCCCCACATCTGGGGGGGGGGTGTCCACTTTCTCTATATTTTTGAGTCAGGCATTCTAAAAGGCTCTCGTAATTTAGTTGAGGGACAAACGGAACGCCTGGCTTTTATAAAATCGATGGATATATGCAGGCAACTCACCCCCGAGTTAGCATGGCATTTGGAGGGTGAAGGTTACAGTTCTCAGTTTAGACAGTACCTGCAGTTGCCCCTCAACGCGAGATCTCTCTCTACTTGCTCGCAGAACCTCATCTTCCATGGCAGTCAGATGTTCCCTCAGCTGCCTCAGCTCATTATTCAGATGATCTTGCTCCTTCACCCAGGTTTCGCGCTCAGCTTTGAAGCTCAGCAGCTCCCCACGTAGACCTCTCACTTCCACGTCCAGCTTGTGTTTTGCCGTTTTCAGCTCCTTCAACAGCTGCTCCTTGGCAGTGGCATCTCGCCTGTAAGCTTCAACCATCACCTTTACATAGAAAGAAGCGACGGGTATAATTACACCTCATTTTCAGGATACGTGCATTCCGCGTAGAAAAATCGCTGGCCGCAGTGAAACTGACACATAGTGGCGGCCATGTTTCCATCCAACTTTTACTTTCAGCAATAGTGGAGGAGGCATTATATTATTTAGATCATATTCGTAAACATAATAGAAATGGCTTCACCTGCTTTTAAAGTGTCCATAACACACTACACATAAAGAGAGGATATTTATTTTCAAACTTAGGGAAGATGGGCTAAAAAAAGAGTCAGTTTTTCATTTCCTTTAATTTAATTGAAATTTAATTGCACAACTATTTCACTTCAGCATTAAGCGCTCGGATTCTATAACTTACAAAAATGTTCCCTCGTATTATTCACTCAGCGAGCGCTTCTGGAACACCACATGACCGGTGCACATTGGACAGGCAGATCTTGCGGAGAAGCCATCGCTCCACAATAGAAGATGCGTACTTTACTTGGGCCAAGCCAGTAATAGGCGAGAAACGATATCACGAGTTTTGACAAGTTACTGTAGCATGCAAAGTGCTCATATGATCTGATATTCACCTTTTGTTGCGTTAACTGGTCTTTCACCTTGTGAACCTGCTTCAAAAGTTTTTTATTTTCTTCCTGAATTGTTTCAATCTAAAAAAAACAACACAGTAAAATAATATAAACATGAGCACAACCCTACGCAATAAAGCATGCAGACCTCTCCAGCCAGCACTCTCACACCGGGACCTTCCTACTCAAATGAGCACCGAGGTGGTGCTGTGCTCGCTTGTTCATAACCCTAAACCAGTGGTGGAAATTCCATGTTCCTATGGCCTGCCGAATACACCCAACCTAAACACATTCCTGTGGAGGGAGCTGGTAGGAACATTGGGTTGCTCGGTCAATGGCCAGGGTCAACGGCGGCGTGGTGTATTCCGCAAATATGCCCGACTGTGAGGGCGGGCTCAAGCCGGCGTGAGTAGGTTAAACGTTGAGTTTTATAAGGGAACCACGGGGTGACCAGCCCCTCCCCACCCAGCCCCTCCCCACCCAGCCCCTCCCCACCCAGCCCCTCCCCACGCAGCCCCTCCCCACCCTCCCCACCCAGCCCCTCCCCACCCTCCCCTCCCCACCCAGCCTCTCCTTCTCTCCCCACCCAACCCCTCCCCACCCCTCTCCACCCAGCCACACCCCTCCCATTTTTGGATGCACGACGGATGGACACAATAATCCCCTGTGGGCTGGTGTAACCAGGAGGTTCCTACCAGTATAACAGAAACTTGAACTTAGAAATAGTACAAACAGGTGCTTTTTAACACAATTGGTTGTAATAACATGGTTAACGATGAATATGCTCTTAAATGCAACCATGATACAAACGGTTCACACGACGTAGTAAAATGTGTAAACACTCATGAATGGAGTTGGCCAAACATCGCAATACGAGGGTTGGTGAATCACACAAACGTTGTGAAACTCCCTTCCAACAGACGTCGTGGTCACCATACTCTGGCTTGCCAGGAGGTTACAGTACAGCAAGTAGATTAATCTCCGTGTTTCTAGCTGTACGGGGATACAGCGTTGCCCCCTTCCAAGCAGTTTTTTTTCAGGTACCCCAGTTTCCTCCCGTATGTATAAAACTTATTAATTGGCTGACAATATCATCATAGTATAGAGGACAGCAGAGACTGAGCAATTGTTGGGTGCCTTCCAACTTGTCAGTGGTTCCTTCGTGCCTCTTGATTATATCTTCACAAGAGTGAAAAAGTGCACGTATTTCAAGTCTAAATTCAATCAAAAATGTCCTCCCTGCCTGTGAAATATATCTAGCAATTTTCATGAAAATTATCATTGATGATAATGCAAAAATTCTCATTATCATTGCATTTTACTCCCTCTATGATTCAATGTTTTAAAATTACAAGTATAAATTTTCAGTCCACATGATTAACACTACATTTGGATCATTTTTGTGTGAAAAGCATAATCATCAGCAGACGTAAGTTTAATTCTAATTCACAACTACAATTCACATCAAAGGTGGCGGGGAGGGTGGCCCAGTGGTAACACTCGTGCCTCACAGCAAGGGCTTGGGGGGTTTCATTCCCTGCTGGGTCGCCTCTCTGGGTAGAGTTTGTATGTTTCTCTCCCCCGTTCCTGGAAGGATTTCAACTTTGGGTTCTCCGGGTTACTTGGGAAACAAACAGGTGTTGGGCACGCATCCTAAAGCTGAAAAAATTACCTGCAAATTACTCAATTGAGATTACACACAGCAGCAACATCGTTCCCTTTGCACACAAATTTGGCAGGACCCTCCTGAAAAGTCTTCAGACTCAATGAGGTTTTCTGGATAAACAAGCAACATCATCGTGATAAAACCACACGTAAAGTGACGTCACCTGCGCTCCCTTGACCGTCAGCTGTTGTCTCAGCTCTTGCAGATCTTGTGTTGTTGTGTTGGCGCAATCTTCCAGCTGTCCCAGTCCTTCACCTACCGCTTGATGTTCCGCACGCGCCGCCTGCAGCTCCACCTCGAGCACCAGCTTCGTGTTTTGAAGGAACTCGATGCTGTCGTCCTTGACGTTCATTTCTGCCTGCAGGTCGACGAGCTGGGAGCCGAGCAGGTCATATTGAGCCTGTAGAATGTGCATGGCATGCTCCTTGGCATGCAGGGCCTCCTGGCTGCTCGACAGTTGCTCCATGATGCTCACATGCTCTTGCTCCAGGGCCTGCAGCTGTAGATCCTTCTGATGCACGGTCAGCCGCATCTACACAAACACATGACATGTCTTGACCTACAAAAGCATTACACGTGAAGACGACGACGTTTTGGCCCAAACTACTAATGAAAGTAACCAAGAAAAAGGCGTAGGGCCAAAATAATGTCTCCTTGTGATTGTACGTGCATCCGTGTTTCTGTATGTCTGTGTGTGTGTGTGTGTCTCTGTATCTCTATAATGTATTGTTGTGTTAACGGTTTTAACACCTTAGCTGCAAAGTGTAATATGTAGTTATTTTAACCATATTTAACTGGTAATTACATTCTCGCTTTTTGAGTTTTCATTCCAGAGCATAAAAAAAACATTTGAGTTCAGTTTTCAGTTTTGGCTTCGGAAAATGTACGGTTAAAACCAGTTCCTCGTTCCAGATTACGTTTGGTTCAACTCTCAGGGGTCAACCCCCAACAAGGATTTGAATTCCCAACCTTCCAATTGTGAGCCGCTCACTGTAATAGTGAGCCACTGGCCAGTTTAAGCAATTCATGATGAAACCTATGCAAATAACCTTGTCCATCTCCTTCTGTAAGTGAGTTGAACAGTCAGCCATTTTTATCAGCTGCAAGCGCTCATCTTCGAATTTCTCCACCCGCTGTGCGAGGTCTTGCTCCACCAGAGCCTTGGCCTGTTCAATGTGCTGCACCGTCTTCTCTTGGTCCAACAAGTCAGCCTGCCACCAAAGAACACCACAACAAATTAAAACTTTTTGTGTATGCGCTTGAGCAAGCGTGGTCGAAAAACAGCATCAATGCGCCAGATGTCTTAAAAAAGTTGCCGGCATTTGAGGTGTCGTCTTGAGACGGAGGCTAGGCATTTCGTGGCAAGATAGGGTAATCAATGCACAAGTTTAGAAGTCTGGAAGAGAACGTGGCAGGTACGTTTTTTACGATACGATTCAGCAAAAATGACTGTGCTGGATGCGATATGCAGAATGGAGGATAGGGTGAGCAACTTGGAAGTTGGGAAGAGAACATAGCAGGTAAGTGTTAAAGAATGGCCTGCGCTGGGCGTGAACAGGACGAGGGAGGCCTGCTTGTCCAGACAGACATTGCAGTGGCCTCTATGACATTGGCGACCAAAGGGAAGAGAAGACCTAAGGTCTGATAGTGAGATACAGTCAGGGCAGATCTTGGTGGTCATTCGGTATCGACTTGTGCGGCAGCTGTGGGATCTGGCGGACAGCAGCAAGCGTTGGTGAGGTGTGGTGGAATCAACGGCTGGATTGTTACATCACAGGATCGTGAGGTGCCAGCGGATTGGGGAGTCCTTCATCCAGCCATGGATTGATCATGGCCGATTAGGATTAATAGTTTTACCTCGATCGTTTGAAGATGCAATGCAATCTGTTCTTTTTCTTTCAGAGATTTTTGCTGTGAATCTGACAGCTGCTGGGCCAAGGCCAGGTTTTCCAATTTCAGTTGTTCCATGAGTCCCGTCTGATTGGCATTCCCAGCCTAAAAAAGAATTGCAGAATACGTCAAAGTCATAAATGACACACACACAAATACAAAGAAAACAGAAACATTCCCCAATACCCAACAACTTGTCTTGCTTAACACGTAGGCTTTCGCGACCAATATTATTTATAATAAACGTTTTTGGGTTAGAATTGCCCGATGATGCTGGATGCAATTACCAGCGAAACGTCGTACTCTAAAATTGTAAATGTTGTGGTTTCACTCTTCAACACACCGGTGGGCTAAAGTAGTGAACTATTTGTCTTTTGTCAACGTGACACTTTTTTGCTGATTGGCCGTGTCGGGTGGTGGAGGGTTACGACACATTTATAAATAACGCGATCTAACCCAAAAACGATTCTTATGAACTTGTCATGCATGAAACTCAAGAAAAAACGCAGTCCCTTGCCTGGATGCTGATAAGCTCACTTTGCAGCTGCACCCGTGATTTCTGGGCAAGCGACAACTGCTGCTGGTACCAGTCGCGCGCCTGCATGAGCGTTGCGATCTCCCCCTGACTGACGGTGAGCTGTGAAGCAAGCGCAGAGCGCTCCACCTGCACCTGCTGCAGCTGCCGCTGCATGGAAGACATGTTCTGCCGCAGCATGTGAACTACAAAGGGAAAAGACACACTCCGCCGGCTAAGCCACACACCCCATCATTTCAAGTGTATTCTGTTTAATCGCGCAACAACTCACGAGACCAGGGTTGCCTCATCTGCAAGAGTGATTTGGATCACCAACGTTGTCAAAAAAGAAGAGGATATGAAAACAAAGTACAGCAATGAAGCAAACATAAAGCAAAGAAAAAATAACTAAATAAAAATCAGAGCAAAAATAACCACATTACAAAATAAATAGAAAACGGAGCTAAAAAATAAATCAATATCAAATGACATTTATTTCCTGTAATAACATCAAACAACTTGAAAAAATCGTTCATCGTAAAATTAAGTTACAGATACATCAGCATGTGACCTGGGTGTAAGAACTAGATGTACACTCTCTAATGGATATTATGTTATACAAAGCTTATTGTATTGATTCGTTAATACACTGTACATCGCAAATAAACAATTGTATCTTAACTAAGTCAGGAGTCACGGATCAAATCTTGGTCACGGGCAATTCAACCGATCATTTCTCCAGCACTGATACAATTAGTACCACTTTGCATTGCCAACAGTAGCTGTTTGAAAGATAAATGTACTCCTGCCATAGGAATGTGTAATTTCCACTGATGGCTTTATGTCATATCCGATGCTGAGCATCGACTCACTCAATGAGTGAGACACACGGTAATGCCCGATCTACGGCGGGGATGCGTTCCCGAAAGATGTCACGGATATTGAGACGACATAAATCAAAGAAACGTACAGGGTAGGTGGAGGCAAAGACCGAGAGGCAATGGATACGAGATAAGACGGACGATGCTGTCAGCGACGTAAGTGTGGGGTTGAGGCAACGCAAATCGGGTAGCGATGTTAATAAAGTGACGACGTAATTTGAAAAACGACGCTAAAGGGGGAGACGTCAATCAGGGTATTACTGTACACGTGGACACTGTACAAAACGGCAGGGTGGCGCAGTAGTGATGTTCGTGCCACACAGCAAGAAGGGCCTGGGTTCCATTCCTGACCTGGGTGTCTTTCTGCGTGGAGTTTGTATGTACTCCCCCTGTCATGCATGGCTTTCCTCTGGGTTCTGTGGTTTCCCTCCCATAGCTAAAAAACACACACTGCTACTGGTATTGGATAAATATCCCAATGCTGAAAAAAATACCTGTTAGTTCATCAATTGGGATTACACAGCCGCAGCAGCATCTCCCCCGAGTGCTAAAACTTGGCAGGGCCCTACTTCAAGAGAGTCTTTAGACTCAGTGAGGCTTTCCTCAGTAACTAAGCGTAACGATCATTAAATACATTTTAAACACTCCACTTAATCACAGACGTTTTTTAACGTGCTTTAAATAGCAATATTCATTTACACATTTCAGATACATTTTCTCACCCGAATTGTCTTTGTCAGCAACAGTCTTCTGCAGGTCTTCTAAACGTCCCAGGAGACGCTGATACTGTTGCTCCGCGGCACCGAGATCGTTGCTCAAGTTCTTGAGGCCGCTGTTTTTGAGCTCAAGGTTGGTTTGCATACACAGCATGGCCTGCTCCAGACCGAGGCACTTCTGTTTCAGGGTGAGGACCTCTTGGCCCATTTCACTGCACTTGGACTCCCCCAAGGCGGCCTGCGCTTGCTCCGCTCTGCGCTCTGCCTCCAAGGCCGCCAGTGTGGCCTGCACCTCCGTCTTCTCCTTCATGGCCTGTCACAGCACATTGCAATCATGCTGTTAGACGGCCAGCATTGGTGTTTTACACGGCACCTCCTGCTCCTTCGTCTACACAACCTGCCTCCCAAGAGACCCACAGGCTCGCACAGAAATCCACTGGCTCATACAGAGACCGACTGGCTCACAGAGACCCACTGGCTCGCACAGAAATCCACTGGCTCACACAGAGACCCACTGGCTCACACAGAAACCGACTGGCTCACAGAGACCCAATGGCTCACACAGAGACCCACTGGCTCACAGAAACCCACAGGCTCGCACAGAGACCCACAGGCTCGCAGAGACCCACTGGCTCACACAGAGACCCACTGGCTCACAGAAACCCACAGGCTCGCACAGAGACCCACAGGCTCGCACAGAGACCCACTGGCTCACACAGAGACCCACTGGCTCACAGAGACCCACAGGCTCGCACAGAGACCCACTGGCTCACAGAGACCCACAGGCTCGTACAGAGACCCACTGGCTCACACAGAGACCCACTGGCTCACACAGAGACCCACAGGCTCGCACAGAGACCCACTGGCTCGCACAGAGACCCACTGGCTCACACAGAGACCCACTGGCTCATACAGAGACCCACAGGCTCGCACAGAGACCCACTGGCTCACACAGAGACCCACTGGCTCACACAGAGACCCACTGGCTCACACAGAGACCCACTGGTTCATACAGAGACCCACTGGCTCACACAGAGACCCACTGGCTCACACAGAGACCCACAGGCTCGCACAGAGACCCACTGGCTCACACAGAGACCCACTGGCTCACACAGAGACCCACTGGCTCACAGAGACCCACTGGCTCACACAGAGACCCACAGGCTCGCACAGAGACCCACTGGCTCACACAGAGACCCACTGGCTCACACAGAGACCCACTGGCTCATACAGAGACCCACAGGCTCGCACAGAGACCCACTGGCTCACACAGAGACCCACTGGCTCACACAGAGACCCACAGGCTCGCACAGAGACCCACTGGCTCACACAGAGACCCACTGTTTCACACAGAGAGCCACAGACTCAAGAGACGCGATTGGCTGGTGGATACACAGCTACGGGAGACCGTGCTGTACGTGCATCGATCATGGCGGGCGGTTGACCATAATTCACCACACGCTGGCAAGTGCCAGCTGGAGACGCCATTACCTTTCTGCGATCCCTCTCGTTAAGTACCTCACTGGTATGGGGGTCCCTATCCAGTAATATGGGTACTCAGGTCTAACTTGGCCCGGAAGCCTCTTTGCCCTAGAAAGGCAGTGCTGCATTGAAGATGATGGCACTGAATGCCATTTAGCTGGAAACAATTTCAGTCTCACCTGTTTGGCTTCGGAAGCCAGTGCCTCAAGTTGGCCTTCCAATTGGGTCTTCTCTCGCAAAATTTCGGACACCTCGTCATTTTCCACTGTAAGATTAGTAACACTGCAATGGACAGTAAACAGTTATCCACACAACAGAATGGTTATTTACATTTGATATCAAACAGGTCACAGGGTGTACATCAGATTTCTAATATTAGCTCCTTTACTACAGGATTCTTATACATTACAAATATGACATGTTTGAGTAACATAGATGTGTATGTTGACCATTTATAATCCTATATTTTCTCATACTGTTGTTAAAATCTGAGGTTCACTTACAAACGATTATCACATCTTCCCCAATTTGTCATCATAGTGCACTTGCCAATGGGGTTAATAAGCATGTGTGCATTCCTCTCGCTGCTCAATCTCTGCTGAGGTTGCCCCATTCACGCATCACCCCCATTCACACATCTCCCCATTCACACATCTCCCCATTCACGCATCTCCCCATTCACGCATCACCCCCATTCACACATCTCCCCATTCACACATCTCCCCATTCACGCATCACCCCCATTCACACATCACCCCATTCACACATCTCCCCATTCACACATCTCCCCATTCACGCATCTCCCCATTCACGCATCTCCCCATTCACACATCTCCCCATTCACGCATCTCCCCATTCACGCATCACCCCCATTCACACATCTCCCCATTCACACATCTCCCCATTTACACATCTCCCCATTCACACATCTCCCCATTCACACATCTCTGACACTGGGTCATGTATTGCAATTGGGTGCCATTTTTTTTCCAGACTATGGTTTATTCATTATTCTTGAAACTAGCAGAGTACTCTTTTTGTTTAGTCTGTACTCAATACATGTTCTTGCCAATTTGGACTGTAATAAACATAACATCTTCTGCAGATGCAAGCAGAGGAAGTTTCGGGCTGTCTGATAAGGGCTTCAATGATTACTGTTATTAATCTGTGTTAAAAAATGTTTTTAATTACAATTCAGACTTTGCCAAAGCACGCTCTAGTGACTTTAGCGCTGACATTTTATTAAAACATGACAAACATTACGCACTTAAAAACAATTGTAATGTCGTTTTTCACTAACAGATCTTAAACCCCGTTGAACTGGTTTTGCTCGTCAGCATTTTCTTTAATCCACATCACATCCAATATGCAATGACTAAAAAGATGAAAAACTTCTCTTGAATAACAAACACGTTCTATTCATGGCATGTTATTTAAAAGCAGTGTATGTCTATTTCCATCCTGCTTAGTTAATAACTGCGAATGTGACCGATGGTCATTTAGCATCTAACCCAGATGTACACATTGCAGCAGCGTGGTCACTAAAAACAACACTTTTTAAATGATCGCCCAGTTTTGTCAACAGCTCCGATTCACATATGTAAATGCCACCAGTCTTCAATATGAAGATTAATTTTGAACAGTGGTAAGTCATCCACTTCCTCAAATGCATTCTGGAACAAAAAGGGCATACCATGTAATGCTCTCTAAAATAAATTTCCTGTTTCCAGACTACAGTAATCTCTCGCCACTTCGCGGTTCAAGTTTCGCGGCCTCAGTGCATCGCGGATTTTTCGAACTGATTTAAAGGCCTCATTATACCTGTGCAGTAACACCATCATCATCATCATTCATCATCACATTCATCGAACTGCACAGGTCTGTCATCGTCGTCATTGTCATCGTCATTGTCATCGTCGTCATTGTCATCGTCATCGTCGTCATTACTGGAGTCAAGTCTCAAGATACTACTGTCATTGGTGAGTGTAGAACACCATAATACGTATCGTATGAGAGAGAGTGAATGTATAATATTAAGGTTTCATAATTAAATTGATTTAAGTAAAATATATATATAAAGTATAAATATACATATTTTAAACATTCTGGTACCCACACACACATATACGGGAATTCCTAGGGGGCCAATCCTACTTCGCGGATTTTCACCTATCGTGAGGGGTTCCGGTCCCCATTAACCACGATAAACGAGGGATCACTGTATACTGAATAGGCAAGTTGTATGATAGTTTGGATTCACCGTTGGCAACATTTTAATGCATAAGGCACCAATAGATAAATTAGGGGACATACTGCCATTCAGATTTTTTAAAATCTGAAGCATGTCAGTAATTTGGGACTGAAACTGTTATTCAAGTCCAATGCCACCTGAAAGTTGATGCAATTATTGTGCAATGGTTCCGTGATAGTAGCCACCATTGTCTAACGCAGAACCCATAGCACCCACCTGCTGGAAGCGCTGAGACTCAGCTGTTCTGTATCATTGTGCTCGCTGTCATCCAACTTCATCTCCATCAGATGTTCTGCAGCGGAGGTCAGTACGTCATGGAGGGTGGCATATTGCCCCAAGTCCATCTCATGACCGACACTCGGACCTTCTCTCTCTTCCGTCTTCACAGTCTCCGATCTCTGATGTTCTGGGGTTCTATGTTCAGTGATCGCGTGATCTTCAACGCCGACTCTATTTACCTCTGTGGTAGCATTGCCGTCTGGTGACCTCACTTCTAAGTTGTAATTAAGCTCAGTCGCAGGTGTGTTTGTAACAAGGGATATAGCGGAGGTTGACGAATTCATAGTTCCTGAACCAAATGATGCATTATAGCTATTTCCAACATCCTTTAAGTCATATTCGTTGTTGTCTGCCACCGATTTGTAATCAGACAGAGAGTGCACTTTATTTTTTTTCACTTTCATATCAGTGGTATTCATTGGAATACCCAGGCTGCCAACCTTGGGCCCACGTGGTACTGTTGTTCGAATGTATGAATATTCCTTCGTCATGGTAACGGTTTGTACTCGGGGCAGTGAATCTGGGTTAAACATCAAGTCTGGATCAAGTGTACTGATTTGTCGTTGTTTTGGTGAAGTCTTTGTCAACTGTTAGAAAAAAAAAAGACAGAGATTAGATGTTTCATCGTCAAAGTTATCCTGCTGAAAAGCACATTGAGTCAGTGCTCATTTCCTGCTTACATCCCTGAGCAAGTGGTGGTAATTCCACATTCTTATGGCAGGGGTTGTCTCTCCATATCTCCATAGGACAACCACTGTTGAATTCTTCATCACAAGGTGGTACTCATATCATTCACCCCCAAGGGATGACAAGATGCGTCAACCCCCAAGCAGGATTTTAACTCGAAACCTTCCGATTGTGAGATACTACTGCTGAGTCACTTGGTCAGTTACATAGGCACACTCAATAACATATACCTACTTGCATCTTTTTCATAATGCAAATTAAGTGGTGCATTAAATATTGTTTGATTTTGTTTTCATTTTCTAAGTTCACAAACGTAAATAACTTTTTTTTTATCTCAAATGTCCAAATTATAAACATATATACTGTTGGAAATACTGCTTATGACCCAAACACCATGAATGCACCTCATCTCACGAGGTTTCAGAAGCCAAGAGAAAGAGTGAGCCTGGTTCGCATGTGTATGGTATACTGCCAGAAAATAGCAGGTGTGGTCAGCTTGTGCTGCAAGGTTGCTGGGAAACAGCAGTCCAGAAATTGATTCTTGAATCTCTGTGGAGCTTGAGTCCTTCCCAATCAAACGTTTGGGATGTCTACAGATACTCTAGTTTCCTCCTATAAACCAAACCCTCACAAATGGAATTGACTGTCGAAAGAGAGTTTTGAAACCCAGTGCGGATTTTCCTGTGTAAATAAGGGACATTATTGTTATCTATTCAAGGACGCCGTATAAATAGCCAATACGCTGCTTAAATCGCCAGTCGGTTGCTGAAACATCTCATATTTTTTGGTTTGTTGCGGTTGCACCCGATTCAAGAGCCGAATGGCTCACAGGGCTATACCTAATAAATGAAACTGAAAAAAACTGAAATATGGCTTACCCGACCAGTACGCTGTTTTACGCGATACTGATGTAACTGTTCTTCCAGCTGTTTCTGTGCTTTGGCCTTGATCTGTCCTTCGTTTTGATCTTTACCAATGGGCATCTCTTGTGCTACAGAAACAAATAAACTGTTAATTTTTACAGCTTATATGTAAGGAAACTCATACAAGCATAACAATAAACAACAATACTGAATAAATGCAATCTTACTGAAGATAGTTTCTTGGAGTAGAAGGCTTTGCCTGAGTGACTGGAAAGCCTCACTTGTGTGATGAACATGACCGACATAATCCTCTGCCTTTCCATCAGTAGCTTGGGTCATTTCAATGTCCTCTGTACGATATCCATTTGTGTCTGTAATAAATGTATAGGGGACTGTTACAAATGCACAGCTGTTAAACTAAACAATGTTACACGTAACAAATATTCACGAAATTCGCCTCCTTCACATATTTGTCCTTCCTCATACATATTCAAGAATTTTCACACATTCCATCAACCGTACAGACTTCTGGGAGCCCATTAACACTTGGTTGAAAACAAACATTCAGTGCCTCAGCAGCAGAGTGAGGTTTGCTTGAACCACTGCCAGATGTTTAAAGGCAATTTTCTGAGCTGGGCATCTTAAAAATGTCTTCTACTAAGCTTTCACTATGCACGACTGCGGTATCTTCAGATAAGTACCGTAGTATACTAAGCTCCTGCCTGCAGTAGTGCTGCAGCCCAACCCAGCTAAACCGCACTCGGATTTGAAGCGGCTGCAAAAAACGTACAGAGTAAACGATCTTACTTGGAAGAAAATATCTGAAACAAAACATCGTGCACAATGAGATGGGCACTTTCATTCTGGAGATGTTCATATTTCCACAGCATGACCAGTTGCACCAGGGCCAGAACGAGGCCAAAGAAAAAACACTGTACCCTTGAAGACGATCTGAACTATCAGAGACAACTGGGACCCACAAACATCTGAAGGGAATTTTAATAGTTACTAGCTTTACTAGCCTGGCTTCGCCCGGGACTTGGATTCTTGTCTTGGATTAATTTCATATTCCCTTATATTTCACTGAAAAACCCTGAAAAAAATTATGCTTGCAAGAAAGAAAAAAGCCGAAACAAATCAATTTAACTAAATCGAATGTTTTTCACTGAAGGAAATTCAACCTGAACCCACTTATACGCAAAAGGTCGATTTGGGCAACTCGGGAAGGGAATGACGTGGCGAGCTGAAAATAGTCGAGTTCCCTTAGAAATTTCAGACAGCGTCAGCTGTGCACATTTCATTACGTCAGAGCTCAGCGTTGGAGAGTTTTTGCTGCTTCACACAAACAGATGAATGTTCTGCTTTATATTGAAGAGCGAGCTGAAAATAGTCGCGTTCACTTAGAAAATCGAGACGGCTCTGACGCGCATTTGTGCGGGATACACACGGCCTACGCAGAGGGTTGGGGGGGGGTGACGTCGGCAGGCACACTGCGTGACGCTGCCGCATGCGGGTGACATCACAGACGTGACGTCACCGCTCACTTGCCGTGCAATACATTATATCCATTATTGCGCCCCCCCCCCCCCCCCAAATACAAAAGTATATTTTTATACTTTTTGCATTGTGTACAGTCTGGAAACTACCCACGTGCCAAATGTCAAGTTCGTTGCATGTTGGGAAGTATGCTAAACATTTCGAACAGACACACATTCACAAATTTCCCTTTTTAATATATATAAGATAGATAATGTATTGTAAATTAAACCAAATTTTTTTTATTTTTTTCGGAGCAATTTGAAAACAAAAATGATCATTTTGTCCACGGCTGTGAAAGCGACATACCAGCGGCGCAGGGTAACTACCCACGTGCCAAATTTCAAGTTTGTTGCATGTTGGGAAGTATGCTAAACATTTCGACCAGACACACATTCACAAATTTCCCTTTTTAATATATATAAGATAGATAATGTATTGTAAATTAAACCAAATTTTTTTTATTTTTTCGGAGCAATTTGAAAACAAAAATGATCATTTTGCCCACGGCTGTGAAAGCGACATACCAGCGGCGCAGGGTAACGAGGAGGCTGAGGCAGCGCCATCCTGCCCGTCTGGAGTCGTCTTCTCTCCGGCCTTCGTGCCGACATCGTGATCCGCGAGGCCACTGGAGCCAACCTCGGCCATCGGAAGCACTCGTTCCAGATATATTTCGCTGTACTTCGAATTGCCAAAAACATTTGTTTCAATTACGTGGATTTACTGAAGTCGGATGTTGTTATTCTTTCTTGTCCCATTGAAGAGCATGCTCGACACAGAAGATTAAGATCTGTTACAAAACAAAAACAATGAATGACAATGAGCCACTATGTCCCACACCAACTAGGCACTAGCCAGTCTTCACCAAGTTTACATGACATTGTATTTAAAAATTTCGATTTAAAGCTTTCGTGACTGCAGGGATTCATCTTCTTGGTTCTTTTGGTAAAGTCACGTAGAAGGGAAATAATAAAATAATAAAAATAAAACATAATAAAATCATTCTCACGACGTTTCGGCCACAACGCAAGCAGCCGTCCTCAGGTGAAGAACAGGTCTGTCGATAAGACAGAGTCCGAATGACATACAGACCTGTTCTTCACCTGAGGACGGCTGCTTGCGTTGTAGCCGAAACGTCGTGAGAATGATTTTATTGTTTTATTGTTTTATTATTTTATTATTTCCCTTCTACGTGACTTTACCGAAAGAACCAAGAAGATTGTATTTTTAATTCGAGACGCTGGTGGTATTTTAGGGCTGAATACATGGCAATCCTTAAACAACGATGTTTTTCAACAATACTACACTATAAATTTGCATTAAGAAATTGGCCCAATCAGGTGAGTGCACAGATGATTTTCTCAGCGACTGTAAACTTTAATTAACATCCTGTTCATCACACATGTTTTATACAAACATCTAAACCTCTAGTCAAAAAAAATTGTTCTGGTTCCAAAACACGTTCCTTCGGAGTGGGCAGGTAGGAACTTGGTTGGACAGCGCATTCGTGCACGACAGACAAATATGCATGACAGACAGACAAATAATCCCTGGTGGGCAGTGTGGAACCTGTTGTTCCTACCTGTAAAAGCACTCGTATATCATGTGCTGTATTTTAAAACACTTTGATTCAGTCTGTCTTCAGGAGCAGATTTCAATGTTTTATTTAAAAAAACCTCACTTTAAATAGCAAACATTCCACATAATTTAGCAAAACACAACAAAACCCATGCCAATTTTAGTTGGCACAATTGTGGTTTGGTGTAATGTTTTATAATCGTTTTCACACTCATAAGCTGAGAGCACTGCTAATGTTTAATTTACTCCTTAAAATATTCGTGTCGATTGACACACAGAACGATCACGACACTGAGACACTGAGACAGGGAGACACTGAGACACTGCGACAAAGAGACACTAAGACACTGAGACACGGAGACACTGAGACACGGAGACACTGAGACACGGAGACACTGAGACAGGGAGACACTGAGACAGGGAGACACTGAGACAGGGAGACACTGAGAGAGGGAGACACTGAGACACAGACACTGAGACAGGGAGACACTGATACACTGAGACAGGGAAACACGGAGACATTGTGACACTGAGACAGGAAGACACTTAGACACTGAGACAGGGAGACACTGAGACACTGGGACACTGGGACACTGAGACACTGAGACAGGGAAACACTGATACAGGGAGACAGGGAGACACTGAGACACTGGGGCACAGGGAAACTGAGACAGGGAGACACCGAGACACTGAGACAGGGAGACACTGGGACACTGGGACACTGAGACACTGGGACACTGAGACACTGAGACAGAGAGACACTGAGACAGAGAGACAGGGAGACACTGAGACACTGGGGCACAGGGACACTGAGACACTGAGACACTGAGACACTGGGACACTGAGACACTGAGACACTGAGACAGAGAGACACTGAGACACTGAGACAGGGAGACACTGGGACACTGAAACAGGGAGACACTGAGGCACTGGGACACTGAGACACTGAGACAGGGAGACACTGAGACACTGAGACACTGGGACAGGGAGACACTGAGGCACTGAGGCACTGGGACACTGAGACACTGAGGCAAGGAGACACTGAGACACTGGGACACTGAGGCAAGGAGACACTGAGACACTGGGGCACTGAGACAGGGAGACACTGAGACACTGAGGCACTGAGACACTGAGGCAGGGAGACACTGGGACACCGAGACACTGAGACACTGGGACACTGGGACACTGAGACAGGGAGACACTGAGACATTGGGACACTGACACACTGAGACACGGAGGCAGGGAGACAGGGAGACACTGAGACACTGAGACATAGAGACACTGAGGCAGGGAGACACTGAGACACTGAGGCAGGGAGACACTGAGGCAGGGAGACACTGAGACACTGACACACGGAGACACTGAGGCAGGGAGACACTGAGACACTGAGACAGGGAGACACTGAGACAGAGAGACACTGAGACAGGGAGACACTGAGACACTGAGGCATTGAGACACGGAGACACTGAGGCAGGGAGACACTGAGACACTGAGGCATTGAGACACTGAGACAGGGAGACACTGAGGCATTGAGACACTGAGACACGGAGACACTGAGGCAGGGAGACACTGAGACACTGAGACAGGGAGACACTGAGACACGGAGACACTGAGACAGAGACACACTGAGACAGGGAGACACGGAGACACTGAGACACTGAGGCATTGAGACACTGAGGCAGGGAGACACTGAGACACTGAGACAGGGAGACACTGAGACACGGAGACACTGAGACAGAGACACACTGAGACAGGGAGACACGGAGACACTGAGGCAGGGAGACACTGAGACACTGAGGCAGGGAGACACTGAGACAGGGAGACACTGAGACAGGGAGACACTGAGACACGGAGACACTGAGACAGAGACACACTGAGACAGGGAGACACGGAGACACTGAGGCAGGGAGACACTGAGACACTGAGACAGGGAGACACTGAGACAGAGACACACTGAGACAGGGAGCGACCTGGAGCCCTCGCGATGGGGAGAGCCGCGCAGGCCGCGGCGACTTCGCTACGTGGATCCTGCGCGTCCGCGGCGGAAGTGGCGTCAGCGCCGGTGACGTCAGATGTTGTGTTGCGATGCGGAAGCGGAGGATTGGTTTCACTTCCGGGTGGCGACTGGCTTCCACGTGCGCGACACGTGGAGGGGAACGGGGAGCGGAGGAGAACTGGTGAGAGTGGGGGTCCTGGTGTGAGTCGGGGTCCTGGTGTGAGTAGGGGTCCTGGTCAGAGTCGGGGTCCTGGTGTGAGTCGGGGTCCTGGTGAGAGTCGGGGTCCTGGTGTGAGTCGGGGTCCTGGTGTGAGTCGGGGTCCTGGTGAGAGTCGGGGTCCTGGTGAGAGTCGGGGTCCTGGTGAGAGTCGGGGTCCTGGTGTGAGTCGGGGTCCTGGTGTGAGTCGGGGTCCTGGTGAGAGTCGGGGTTCTGGTGTGAGTCGGGGTCCTGGTGAGAGTCGGGGTCCTGGTGTGAGTCGGGGTCCTGGTGAGAGTCGGGGTCCTGGTGTGAGTCGGGGTTCTGGTGTGAGTCGGGGTCCTGGTGTGAGTCGGGGTCCTGGTGAGAGTCGGGGTCCTGGTCAGAGTCGGGGTCCTGGTCAGAGTCGGGGTCCTGGTGTGAGTCGGGGTCCTGGTGTGAGTCGGGGTCCTGGTGTGAGTCGGGGTCCTGGTCAGAGTCGGGGTCCTGGTCAGAGTCGGGGTCCTGGTGTGAGTCGGGGTCCTGGTGTGAGTCGGGGTCCTGGTGTGAGTCGGGGTCCTGGTGTGAGTCGGGGTCCTGGTGTTAGTGGGGGTCCTGGTGTGAGTCGGGGTCCTGGTGTGAGTGGGGGTCCTGGTGTGTGTAGGGGTCCTGGTGTGAGTCGGGGTCCTGGTGTGAGTCGGGGTCCTGGTGAGAGTCGGGGTCCTGGTGTGAGTGGGGGTCCTGGTGTGAGTCGGGGTCCTGGTGTGAGTCGGGGTCCTGGTGAGAGTCGGGGTCCTGGTGTGAGTCGGGGTCCTGGTGTGAGTCGGGGTCCTGGTGTGGAGTCGGGGTCCTGGTGTGTAGGGGTCCTGGTGTGAGTCGGGGTCCTGGTGTGAGTGGGGGTCCTGGTGTGAGTGGGGGTCCTGGTGTGTGTAGGGGTCCTGGTGTGAGTCGGGGTCCTGGTGAGAGTCGGGGTCCTGGTGTGAGTCGGGGTCCTGGTGTGAGTCGGGGTCCTGGTGTGAGTCGGGGTCCTGGTGAGAGTCGGGGTCCTGGTGTGAGTCGGGGTCCTGGTGTGAGTCGGGGTCCTGGTGTGAGTCGGTGTCCTGGTGAGAGTCGGGGTCCTGGTGTGAGTGGGGGTCCTGGTGTGAGTGGGGGTCCTGGTGTGTGTAGGGGTCCTGGTGTGAGTCGGGGTCCTGGTGTGAGTCGGGGTCCTGGTGTGAGTGGGGGTCCTGGTGTGTGTAGGGGTCCTGGTGTGAGTCGGGGTCCTGGTGTGAGTCGGGGTCCTGGTGTGAGTCGGGGTCCTGGTGAGAGTCGGGGTCCTGGTGTGAGTCGGGGTCCTGGTGTGAGTCGGGGTCCTGGTGTGAGTCGGGGTCCTGGTGAGAGTCGGGGTCCTGGTGTGAGTCGGTGTCCTGGTGAGAGTCGGTGTCCTGGTGAGAGTCGGGGTCCTGGTGAGAGTCGGGGTCCTGGTGAGAGTCGGGGTCCTGGTGAGAGTCGGGGTCCTGGTGTGAGTCGGGGTCCTGGTGTGAGTCGGGGTCCTGGTGAGAGTCGGGGTCCTGGTGTGAGTCGGGGTCCTGGTGTGTGTCGGGGTCCTGGTGTGAGTCGGGGTCCTGGTGTGAGTCGGGGTCCTGGTGTGAGTCGGTGTCCTGGTGAGAGTCGGGGTCCGGGTGTGAGTCGGGGTCCTGGTGTGTGTAGGGGTCCTGGTGAGAGTGGGGGTCCTGGTGTGAGTCGGGGTCCTGGTGTGTGTAGGGGTCCTGGTGTGAGTCGGGGTCCTGGTGAGAGTCGAGGTCCTGGCGAAAGTCGGGGTCCTGGTGGGAGTCGGGGTCCTGGTGTGAGTCAGGGTTCTGGTGAGAGTCGGAGTCCTGGTGAGGGTTGGGGTTCTGGTGAGAGTCGGGGTTCTGGTGAGAGTCGGGGTTCTGGTGAGGGTAGGGATGTCATGTCAGGACAACTGGTCTGTCAGTTGACCAGTGGCATAGTTTTATCAGACTAAGTTGTTACGCCCTGCCTACGACGTCTTCGGGGCAATTGCTTATGATTATCACTCTTGCACGCAAGGTATTTCCACGCGCTAGAATATAAGAGAATTTGGGACTTTGCTAACTGAAAAAAAAATGCTTCTTTATCATCAACATGTGTGTGCAGGTAGCGAACGAATTATGGAGCCCGACCAAGTAAAGGATCTTCTTGGATTTTTGCAACAACAAACACGGCCAGACCTAAAATCTCAAGTAACGGAGTACCTGCTGGGGTTGACTTCCAGCGCAGAAGGCAGAACCATGCTGGCCAAGGAGAAGGCCATCATTGAAGCCTTGAACACTTTGATCAAAGACCCATCCCTTTCCATCGTTAGTGATTACTTTAATATACTGATAAATCTATCGGCGGATGAGTCGGTGTCTGATGTATTTATGACTAATATACCAGTGTCTTTGCTGTTGTCTAATATGCTAAAACCAAAATATCACTTTTCAGAACAAATATGTGCCATTTTATCAAATTTAACACGAGATGAAAGGGTGTGTAAACATGTTTTAGATATCATTAAGGCAAATGACACTGGGTTAACTGGAATTTTAGATCTTTTTTTCAATGAAGGTTTAAACAAAAACGGAAAATTCCATTACCTTGGCCCCCTTATGTCCAATCTCAGCCAAATTCAAGAGGTACGCCGCTTTCTGCTTGACAGAGATAGGTGAGTAGACGTTTCCACGTTCTGCAAGCCATCTAATATTGTTGATGCTGATTGTGCCATGTTGTCGTATCACCTTACCATGCGGAACTGACTACGTGCAGTTGTTTTTAAGTTCATATTTTTTTGCTGTAACCAGGTATCTTGTGTAACCAAATCCCCATCAAAAATGTGCATTGCCCCATGGGTGTTTACCTGTGCCAAAAAAAAAACCCATCTATTAATTGCTCCATGTCTTCTTGGCGTCATCACATTTCTCGCTTGTTGTATTGTAGAGATGCCATTCAACGATTTCTACCATACACTCAGTACGAAGCATCGTCAGTGCGAAGAGGCGGTGTGGTCGGTACTTTGCGCAACTGCTGCTTTGATCACGGTATGAATATCAATCAAACATTAATCAATCAAAAATAATTTAGTGTTGCACCCTTCACACTAAAATTATCCAGAGCACTTCACAAATGGACACATTAACACGTATATAACATTACATCAATTAAGTAATATTACAGTACAAATACATGCTAGAGAGATCAATGAAACAGGTTTGTAATGTACATGTAGTTTACATCTAATATACATACAGGAAAGGCAACTGCAAATTTTCTATTGGAATTTTGTAACATGGAAAATTATACACGGTCGTCATTTTGTGTTCAGAACATCACGAGTGGCTACTTGGGGAGCACGTGGACATACTTCCCTTCCTGCTGCTGCCACTAGCCGGCCCAGAGGAGCTGGATGAGAAGGACATGGAAGGTACTGACTTAACGCTTGGGCTTTCGCGGCCAATTAAAAGATGTATAATTGATATTCTTGGTTCTTTTGGTAAAGTCACGTAGAAGGGAAATAATAAAATAAAAAATAGATAAAACAATACAAATTCTCACGACGTTTTGACTGCAACACGAGCAATCATCAGGTGTGAAATCCACAGCAAGAAAATGTATTATTTTATTATTTCCCTTCTACGTGACTTTACCGAATGAACCAAGAATATGAATCCCTGCAGTCACGAAAGCTTTAAATCAAAATATTTAATTGATGTTTGGATTAGTTTACATCATATATCCTTAGCTCCGCCCCCCCTTCTTCATCTATCTAATCAAACATAGACATAACTTCAACCGAGAAGATGGATACAAATTTGAGCAATCATTGGAAGGATGTTATTAACCTGGTTAAACCTTAACTGCTTTGTAGATTGCCTTCATATCTGCATCTCCAGTCTCTTACACCCAGCCCTGCTCATTTCCATCATTCAGAAATGTGCTGTGCATGTCAGTCTTGCAGAGCAGTTTTAATTTACCGTTCCCTACTCCTAATGTCATATTTGTTCCCTCCTTCCCCCCCCATCCACCCTCCCTATCCTTGGCTCCGCCCCCCCTCCCTCATCTATATAATCCCCTGTTACCAGCAGCTCTTTTGCCTATTTCAGCAACTGCTTTTTGCTGTGGTTGTCCCACCTGATGACGGACGCTTGTGTTGTGTCTGAAACGTCGTGATTTAATTTATTTTATTTTCTTTACCTACGTGACTTTACCGAAAAAACCAAAGAGTATTTACATCATATGACCAAGTTTGTCTCGTTATTAAATTGTCACGACCAAATGTTTTAATTGGATTTGAATATGTAAAATTTAGTTGTGAGAATTGTTCTTCAACTTACTGGTTGAGTTGAAACAATGAGATAATGCTGGTGTCTGTCATTTCAATATTTTAAGAAAATATAAAAGTTATATATGAATTACTAGCATAAGTACCCGGCGTTGCCCGGGTGAAAAATATATCTCTTAATAACCTTACATATATACACAGATGGGCTGCTACCCCTGCCCCCCCCCCCCCAGCCACGATCTCCTCGGCTGCTGTGCAGTAATATGTACGGCCTATAGTGTGGTGGGGTGTCGAGGCCTAGTACCGTGCAGAGCCTCCGGCCTCGCCTAAATTGCCCACCCGGCTGAGGCTGGGTACCGGGGCCGTTACCCCCCCCCCCCCCCGCGCTACAATAATACTGTCTAATCGCTATAATTTTATTATCTACCGACCCTATAATAGTAATAGCACACATTGGGGTGGGGGGGGAGTGAAGAGGACGTGAAACTTTGATGAATTTACCTCAGAGTCGCGTGTTAATGCGTGCGCATATTTTTAACGGGAATTAAAAATGGCGTCCATCCCGCAGCGAATGCGTCGCTACCCGTTGCCA